ATTTTAATATATTTCCTTTTTATACCATAAATGGAAAATTTTTTGTTTATGGTATTTTAACTGCCATAAAAATGCTATATGATATTTTACGCCATTAATAACAGATATTGTTGTATTATTTGTTTCATTTTGCACCCAAAAATATTACATATCTTATATTTTTATCAACAGCTTTATTTAAATTCGCTTCACACTTATTTCGTCAAGTATGCTTTTTTTAGGTTTATTCTAGCGAAAGCTTTTCGTCTTAGCACCAATAATTTATTTTTATACAACCCGTGAAATTTTTCTGATAAGAGCCGGTAGTATTAATTACTATCACCTCCTTTCAAAACCTGCTGTCAACGGACTTGTGGCTCAAAACCTCTGATCGCACTATATTTAACACATATTACAGCGAATTGCAGTTTCTAAATCTTTTAATGATCACTTCAGCTCTGCACAACATAAAGACGTCATATAATTTACACAAAATTTGCCTAAATCAAACATATCTACCATCACATGAATAACACCACATAGGACAACGAAAGAATATGTGACCTGCCATTGTTGTTTATCTTTATTATTACAATTCATGTTCATTTCTGTATCAGGCATATATTGATCGAGTTTCATAAATGCAAAGGTTCAAGCTCTAGATACCAGCAATATTGCATAGTGATTTGCTCATTCAACCATATCAGGTCTTAGTACAATAAGCGATGAGTGATTCTCTTCTGACAAGTAGTCATTTGCCGCAAAAAATATTTTGTTTGATATTAGTCTGAGAAATAACAGTTCCATCTATATTTTTGTTATACCTTGTTCATCGGGATAATAAATCGGGTTGTTCAGATCATCATCTTTTCTTCATATATCCATTTCATCATCGTCGTCGATATGAATAAAAAAGCAGTTCTAAAGATTATTGGTCAGTTCAAAAAATAAATTACCATGCTCCTCGTGAAAATAAAAAATTTATTCGACTTGGGCCCTGGTTGAGAATGAGCAAAGAAAAATTTAACTTTGTAAAAACTGAGGAAAGCATTTTGGGTGTGTGGAACAAGGAGGACTGCTTCGAAAAACAAAATGAGCTTATGAGAGGAAAGCCGGAATACAATTTCTACGATGGTCCCCCTTTTGCCACAGGCCTGCCACATTACGGGCATATTTTGTCAGGCACTATCAAAGATACTGTGACACGCTTTTTTATACAGCAGGGATTTTCGGTAAAGCGAAGATTTGGCTGGGATTGTCACGGTTTGCCTGTTGAGTATGAAATTGACAAGAAGCTAAATATCAGCACACGAAAGGAGGTGTTGGACATGGGAATAGCCAATTACAACAATAAATGTCGTTCTATAGTTCAGAAGTACACATCCGAGTGGGAACAAATTGTTAATAGAATGGGGCGATGGATTGATTTTACCAATGGATATAAAACAATGGATATCAGCTTTATGGAGTCTGTCTGGTATGCTTTCTCGCTCATTTACAAGCAGAAGCGTGTGTATAGGGGGTTCCGAGTGATGAGCTTTTCCACCGCCTGTTCAACACCGCTTTCCAATTTTGAAGCAAATTTGAACTACAGAGAAGTGAATGATCCATCAGTAGTCGTTGCATTCAAATTGAACGACCGGTTCAGAGGAAAGGATGTTAGTCTGGCGATTTGGACTACCACTCCGTGGACACTTCCATCCAATTTAGGTGTGTCCGTTCATCCCGAGTTTGAGTACGATATTGTCGATGTCAATGGCAAATTTTATGTGGTTCATGGGAACAGAAAAGAATTCTACAGCGTTTTTGAATCTGCTAAAGCGGTTGATAAGGTGAAAGGGTCTGAATTAATTGGTTTGCACTACGAACCGCCGTTCGAATACTTTAAAAAAGATTTCTCAGGGTTTTTCAAGGTGCTAAGGAACGAGGCTATCACAGACGACAGTGGCACGGGTATTGTACACATGGCACCTGCTTTTGGTGAGGAGGATTACAACGTGTTTCTGAAGGAGGGGATGATACGCGAAAACGAGGAGGTTCCCTGTATAATTGACGATAAGGGAAAGTTTACGTCCACTGATTTCAAGAATCTTTACTTCAAGGATGCTGATAAGCCGATCATGAAGGCGCTTGGTGACAAGTTGCTGTGGCGAGGAACTATCAGGCACAGGTACCCGTACTGCTGGCGTAGCGATACTCCACTCATCTACAAGATTGTGCCAAACTGGTTTATACATATTTCGGATTTGCAGGAGCAGCTTTACGCCCTGAACGAAAAGATTCACTGGGTGCCGCCTTCAATTAAGAATAAATTTGGGAATTGGCTCAAGTGTGCACGCGACTGGTCAATTTCAAGGAATAGGTTCTGGGGCACGCCCATACCGATATGGGCAAGCAGCGATTTTAAGGTAATGTTGTGCATTTCGAGTATACGAGAATTAGAAAAAGTCGGATTTCGTGTGAAAAACGGACAGAGGGTCTCCGTGAAGATAGAGGATATGCATAGGGAGTTTATTGATGACATACTCGTTGAAAAGGATGGTGTCATTCTGCACAGGATCGATGAGGTATTTGACTGTTGGTTTGAAAGCGGCTCAATGCCTTTGGCACAGGATCACTGGCCATTCTCGGTTTATAAGGCCGATGGAGTTGAACAAATGTTTGATCAAATGCATTTGAGTGTCAGGTCGCCCGATGCCGCTGATTTCATTGCGGAGGGCTTGGATCAAACGCGTGGATGGTTTTATACGCTGCATGTGGTTAGCACTCTCCTTTTTAACAGACCAGCATTTAAGAACATTATCGTTAGCGGAATTGTCTTGGCCAGTGATGGGAAGAAAATGAGTAAGCGGCTGAAAAACTATCCTGATCCTATGGAGGTTGCTAATAGCTACGGCGTTGATTCTCTGCGTATTTATCTGATTTCCTCGCCAGTGGTTGTTGCAGAGAACCTAAAATTTACAGAACATGGTGTCAAAGAGGTTTTTAAGAATTTGATGATCAACTGGTACAACATTCTCAATTTCTACGTTGAGTGCAGTGCTAAGAAGCAGAGGATTGGAGAAAAAACGGTTCTTGATGTGTGGATTGTCAACGAACTGAGCAGCTTTGGGTTGAAGATAAAGAACAGCATGGAGAGGTACGAGCTGATTAACATTCTGTCTGATGTGCTTGTGTTTGTAGATGACCTGAGTAACTGGTATATCAGGATGAACAGGATGAGAATAAGAAATGGTGAGCACGGGGTGCTAAAAGATGTTCTAACCACTTTCAGCGTACTTATGGCACCGTTTGCGCCATTTTTCTCAGAATATTCGTACCAAGTGTTGCAAGGCAATAGCTCATTGCTAAGCGATAGGTTTAAGAGTGTGCACTATGAGATGTTTCCTTCTTTTGAACCAGCAAAGGACAACAATTTTGGCAAAACGAAAAAGGTCATTGAGTCTATCCGTGTTTTGAGAGAAAACCAGAAACTATCTCTTAAGACACCGCTCTCTGATGTTACAATTGTAGGCATGGATGACTTTGACCATGAACTGGTCAAGACGGAGTGTAATGTGCTCGAGATGAAGACAGACAACGAGGAAAACTATGAGTTCAGTGTCAGGATAAAACCTAACTTTGCAAAGATAAAGGTACGTAATGCTGAGAAAGACATACCTGGAAAGATAGCCACGATTAACAAGCTGAAAGACATCAGCGAGCTCTGCGCATATAATATCGTTGGTGAGGAGGTGATCGTTGAGCGGAACTTAATTTTGCAGGATGAGAACAGAGTTGCGAAAAATTTTGGTGATTTTACCGTGATATTGAACGTGCAATTGAATGATAGTCTAATTGAGATGAAGGAGGGCAGAATGTTTAACGCGTTTTTGCAGAAGTTACGCAAGAGAATCGGTTTAAAGATGGAGGATACAGTCAAAGTCTATCTGGAGAGTAAAAATCTGCGGAACGTTATTTTGAAGAACTATGAAATCAATTTTGTTGATGATGATGATACCTGCGTAGTGCTCGGCGAAGGATTGTATGTGTACGGGGGGCAGGACGTGTTGGTGAAGATATTCAAGTATTAAATTCTATTCTGGTCAAATTAACGGTCAATACGATGTTTTTGCCGCACACATGGTATTTGTCCACACAGAAAGGTTTTTTATTGGTCATGTCCTGATCCCCTGGTACATCTGATATTTGTGTATTCTACTTGTGATGCCTGGTCTTACCTTACTGATAATAGTGTATTTTGAGTTGTTATCGCAAGTATTAGATCACATGTTCCTCTTAAACGGCGAGTTCGGCTGTGTTCCTGCTCTGCACAGAATTCTTTTATTCACGAGCAGAAGTAATGATAACTTCTCTATTTTGGACTGGTTGGTGGTCCTCGCTACAAATTTATTTAGTTCATATGGTGAGCTTCGAGTTGAGAAATGCCAAATAAATTTATTGGTTTTAGGCTTTGAATAATTTTGCTTGTTTACGCTGAAAAGCGTTTAAAAGGCCCATAACGTGTTTTATTTCCGAGTAGGGTGTTAAAAAGATTTTTGCTTTGGCTAAAATGATCATTTGTTGTCGCCACGTGGTGCACCATTACTCGTTCGTGGTATGTATTTGACATGTATATACCTAACATTCATTAGTTTTATTCTCGTTCCTGAGCATACACATGTTTTAACAGATTACTGGGCCTGTTTCTGTTCCATTTCAAATTTTTTAATGCTGAATTCGCGCCCACCTTGGACAAATCGTGATGAGTGTCATAAAAGACATAGACAAGCAGAACCACGAAAAAAGAGGGTGCGAAACGCCGATGGACGTGAAGAAACACAGAGAGGAACCTTTACATCTCCAATATCTGCACACGTTCTACCGTAAGTACTTTCCGGTTGCGCTTTTTTCGCGCTTTTTTGGGCTTTCAGCGCACCGGGAGGTCTCATTCATGAAGCAGAATGAACGCGTGATCCGTTACCTTTCGTTTGATGGCGCTGATGCGCTTATGGACGCGTTGTTGAAGGAGGTTCCTCTTAAGTTCGACCTTGGAAGTAATTACGTTAGCGTGCCAGCGATGAACAGCAATAACATATTTAAGAGCCGAGAGCTTGTGTTTGACATTGATATGACTGATTATATGAAAGAGATGGAACGAAAAGGCAAGACAGGCGGTAACAAGACTAAGCACGCTGAGGGCGAGAGAGGCGTAAGTTCGACAGCACTGCGTGACACGAGCGATGTGCATGTCTGCGATAAGCTCTGTGATGATTGCATTGCTCAAATGAATAGAATAATCGCCCTGCTGAAAGAAATTCTTACCGATCACTTCGGATTCACTCACGTAATTTTCTTCTTTTCGGGTAATAAAGGCTTTCACTGCTATGTTATGGATGCGTTGACCAGCCATTTTGCAAGTATTGTGCGACATTCGATTGCATCGTACCTGAAAAAGCACAGCGTGCTCGTTGACGAGAATGTGACCAAAGATGTCAAGCATCTGCTCAAGGCACCGTTCTGTGTACATCCAAAAAGCGGTTATGTGTGTGTGCCGGTCGTTGAGGGAATCGAAAAGGTGCATGTGAGTGATGTTGTGTGTGGGAATGTTGGATTAGAAAAATATTACAAGTTTTTTGAAGAATTTGTCAATAATTTACATTCAACTGTTTGCGGTTAATAAATTTATTTTCCATCTCAGTCACAATTGAACTAATTAACATAAATGATTTGTATTTAAAGATGACACAACAGGAGCATCAAAAAACAGAAGAAGTAAAACACACATACAATATACTCCTTTTGATGACGAGGGGTACCGCTTATAATGGAGCATTGACGTACTGTATGAATTTAATTAAATTTTGATTTATTAAATATTTTGTGCATTGAACACACTACAAATCTGCAATATTAATTTAATTAAAGATGTCTGTCAATATTATGGAAATGTTCAACGTGATCTATTAAATAATTAATGGAATTAAAAGTATAAAAGAAGGAGGGATCTTCATAGCAATGATCGCAGTGCTTTATTTGTCTTTTCTGACCATTCAAATAATGCGCACCGTCAGTGATAATAGTTTTGGAAGTAAAAATACGGATGACGTGGTTGCAACTCAAGCATATTTCTATACGGAGAACCCTCCAACATCGCAGAGATTGGCTACCACGGAAATACTTGGCAATTCAACGGACACACCTATGGAAAATGGTTCAAATAATTATAACTTTGGAATATCGGGTGGCGATGTGTCACGAGCTAACACTAGCGAGTCAAAAATACCTGACTCAGATATATACTGTCGATTTCATGAGTTAAGAATGGAAAGACTTCGTAAACAACGTCAATCTCATAATGCCTACAACTATATACACTATAGTGACAGAAGTTATCTAGGTGAGGATGTTGATCCAGAAAGTGTTAAGACAAATAGTTCTGAAAGTGAGAATAGAGTGAAAAGTAAAATACTAATGTATAAACAATTGGCTGGGTTGTGCAACAAAGAAGAAAATGATCGTGTGAAGTATTATTCTGGAATAACTACGCGGAGAAAAAGATTTGAAAATGACCTGAGCGTTCAAAATAATAGTTCATACAATATAATATACGATGAAGGAAAAAATGTACCAGATGCCCATAATATAACACCGCACAATGATAACACGCTTTCCTCTAAAGATAACAGAGCAATTGCAGCACTGGATACTACTCCAAATCGAAACTGGAGTAGCACTAAACAGCCTGAAACGGAAACGTGTACTTTTGGGACGATAAGCGGTGTGCAATCGAGAAAGGAAAGTGAATTGATAGCCCTTGAAAAAGTTATTGCTGATATATATCACATTATCGATAATTACTATAAAGGTAAATATGGTGCTTATAAGAATAGAACAACTGCATGTCGATAAGTATAAACTGATCAATAAATAGTTTTGTTACAATTCTATGATAAAGTAATCAGCATATTACATTTTATGACTTAATAACACTTTGTTCAAGTGCATATAATGTTTCCAATCCAATTTTTGTATATTTACGTGCAATACACCATATGTTCTCTATTTACTTCATTTATTTCTGTGTTGATCAAAGTCTCACTCTCATATCCAATTAGTTAAAAACCAGTCAAATATTATTTGAAACATTCTTTGCCCTGTTATGGTATAACATCGTATTTTCTCATTTGTAGTATAAAATAGTTTTTTAATCAAGATATGTCCAACTAAATAAGCTATATCCACGTTATATTCTTCTATTTTATAACAATCGCGTGTAAGTGCACTAAGATTAGAGGTTAATTTCTTTTATCATTAAAAACGCGCTTATTTATCTTCTCATAAACCAATGACATTCGAACTGCATATTTTTATGGTTTGCTGAAACCGACTGTGGAGACGGTTTTCGGTTCATGGTTCGTGTTACAGGCTGGATTATGTTTCATTTTTGCACCAGGATTGGAGACGGGGTAATTTAAAATATTTTTAGTCGGTGGTTATGTCTACCTACTACAACATAACATTCTATAACACGAATCATTTTCTGCTCATATAACAGGAATGAATCATTTTTATTTCTAGAGATTTCGTTCCCGTTACGTTTTCAATATGAAGACCAAATTTGAACTCATATCAAACCTGAGAATTTTCATAATACATAATTTAGTGAAACAAACGATATTTTGAGGCAATCTAATAGGAAATATACATAAAATTTCTATTTATGGTACTTATACTGTATTTTATTTAATCATAATCGTGGTCATAGTCGTATCCGTGGTGTCTCCTAGGCTTGTAACACGAAATGCACCCAGAAATTCTTTTGGTTACGCGTCCACACTGATCAACACAGCATTTTCGGAATCGGAATGTTGGACATTGTGGCCTGTGATGATCGGGTCGCCATAATTTTGAACAGGAAGAGAATGAAGAGCACGATGACGGCCTGAACGGTGGTTGCCAGCACGATGACGGCCTGAATGGTGGTTGCCAGCACGATGACGGCCTGAATGGTGGTTTACAGCACGATGACGGCCTGAACGGTGGTTTCCAGCACGATGACGAATTAAATGATGGGGGCCAACACGGGGAGAGCTTACCTGAGGATGAACAACACGAAACTGGTTCACATTCTTTAGTCCTGCACACGGGCGGTTTGTAATCCGCGTAGCAAAAGACATAGTGAATATCATCGTCATCATCACCGTAGCATTCGACATTCCCATCCTTTTTTACCACGAAATTGCCTGGTATACCGTTGTACCCGCACACAGCTGCTTGTGAAATATTTCTTAATTTTAACTGGGACACGAGCCCGGGAAGATTCTCTTTTGTAGCAGACACACACTTTCTACATTCATTGGCGCACACATCGTTGGGCTTTACCTTACAATCTCGCTCCACCAATATTATGTCATTTGCCAGAACAAGTGTGATGAAGTGTAGGAAACATAACAGCATGGCATTCTGTTTGTCTCTGTTTATATACTTTTGTAAAACTCTATTTACAATCTAGAACCTTACCATATCGGTCTTACATCCATTCTAATCCTTGTTTGTATCTTAAAACAAATAGGACACTAAAGAACATAATTTTGGTATTTTATCTACGATTCTTGCTAATATACAGCACTCTGTTGCTTGCGACCGCAAAGCACTAAGCAAATTCGGTCACTTTTTGTTTGTACCGATGGTGATGGTATCATTGCAATAAAATCAATTACAAAACAATAAAACCGCCAGTTGTACAAGTACGTACCATAGTTCAACATCAATAACTTAAAATAATAATTTTTTATTGTTAATTAAGACGTTCAATTTCAAAAACGGTAGTAATGCTGGTTGTTGTTTATTAAAAGTAAACAAACATCATATTTCTCTATTAATTATCACTTTCTTGTAAAATTTAGGCATGTTATCTTTCCAAGCAATCTCATAATCACTGACCTTGATCCATAATGATATTGAAACGTACTTATCGCCAACCCTTTCCTTTGCAAGAGCATCCATAATCTTATATGCATGCGTAAATGCCTCTCTGATAGCATTCATATTCGTTGATAGATGGCCCGGATCATAACTGCCATCTGTAGGATCTTCTATCGAAAGGTAATTGCTGCAGGTCTTCATTTTATAGCCTGACAAACAGATTTTTGCCTTTTCGTAGCAAAAATCCTGGCCGTAGAACTGGAAAAGGTCCATGAAAAGGACAGAAAGATTGGACTTGATCGACATCTGGCTTTGTACCAGCGGGTGCAAGTTAAGGAAACTGGCAATCATCAGAAACTGGGCGTACGAATTCAGCCCTCCTCGCCTGTTTTCGTTCAATCCCCGGCATTTTAGAAAATGTTTCAGAAACAGCGCCATGTCTTTGATCGCCGGTTGTTCGTGCAAAATTTCCTTAACAAGTTTGGTGTGAATCACACCTGATTCTTGATTCAAAGACAAATCGTACCTAAAACGGCAAACATCCATAAATCTGAGTATGGGTACCCGTGCTCTGGACAGAAAAATAACACTTCGACCGAGTATTAGAGGGCTTCTGCGTAGAAAGTGCAACAGTTTTTCCAACACATCCTCCTCTTCGGTAAAAAGTGTCAGATCGATATCACCACCGGGCAGATACAACCCGGTTGCGTAGCTGCCAATGCACTTGATCACATTAGCGGAGTGTTGTCGTCTTCTTGGCGCACCACCATCCTCCAATTCAGATCTTGTATTTCCCTTCTTTTCCATACTACTCTCTGACTCACCCATATCCACCGCACCTACCTCTTGCACGAACACATCATGGGAATAATAATCCTTTCTAATGTCTATCTTTTGTCTTCGCATTCCTCTCAGTCCGCTCAGGATCAACTTTTTTATCCGCTTTACCATGAGCCTTCTAAGCACCACCTCATCATCACTCGGCTTTAAAAACTCGATAAGCATCCGCAGTTCATTATTTAGATGGTCCATAAGTGGCACTTCCTTTGATGGATTGTGCTTAGAGTTTTCAGCAACCAACGTACGAATGTCCACTGCAGTGTAAGTCAATTTCTCGTTTTCCAATGTATTAAAGTCGTTTTGCATTCCTAATCCGTTACGCCCGGTTCCTTTAAATACTTTGATAGTTGTGATGTGTTTCAGATTTGAAATGCTTACCGCATGTTTCAAGTGTCATATTTTGTGATCGCTGATCTGGCACGTACATTCTTATGGATGCTATCTCCTCATACCAGCAGTAAATAAAGTTTGCATCGGTTACAACATTTTCTTTCTGCCACAGGAGGTCTCAAATCTTTGTTCTGTAGTAATTTGGATAACTTTCATCACCAGAATTGTAGTAGAAGCACTCTTTTAAATACTTTTGCTTCACAAAGCCTGGCAAATGATAGGCTATAAACAAATGAAAAATTGTTATAGCGGTTTTACACGCAAGAATGTGATCAAATGGCAGTTTGAAACACTGAATCGGTGATCGTTCCATGTAACAAGCAGAATTATTCGATGCTGCCCATTAATACTCATAAGCTTGATCAACTCTACTCCTAGCCATGCGTGCAACTTATCACTGTGTTAAAGTGTTCGTTTTTTGTGCAATTTAGCACTTCTACACTCATTAAAACAGGCCTGAGATGATACTTCCTTTTTATCTGTTCAGAACAAATACTGATGCAATCAATTTTGAACGCTGTCTCATGAATACCTGCTCGCTTTCTGATCCTACGGCAGAAAGTTTCGTTTTAGCGCGTGGAAAACTGTTTGGTGTCCTGAAACATGTTTAAGAGCAAAACATACCGCTAAAAAGTGTTTCCATTAGTTCACACGATTAAGCATATTTAGCCTTAAATATGCTTTTGGTTCTAGAACGCAAAATAAGAGAAACTAAAAGTATATAAAGACTAACGATTTGTAATTTATGATTATTCTTCTCCTGTACAGTCTTGCATACGCCTTGGTGAATGAAATAGTGCTAGTAGAGCGTGAAAGGGGCACAAATCTATCGGATGTATGCGAGGACAAATGTAAGAAATGCGTGTTCGCAACAGATTACAATCTTTCTCAACTAATTGCTCTGCTGAAAGAGAAGAAAATCCATAAAGCGGCTGTATGCGGGTACAACTGCATACCGGGCAAATTCGTGGTCAAGGATGACGGCAAGATTGAATGTTACGGAAAAAATGAAGACGATATAAAACATGCATTCTGCTACGAGAACTATAAACCAGAATACGAGCCATACAACCCTTGCCTGCCGCATGATAACAGACCTGTCCGGTTAGAGTTTGTCTTCTGCTGCCCACCACCCTACCGGCCACCCCAATACCCATACCCGAATTACCCATGCCCTCCACCTGCATGGTTCCCGCCGTGTGATCCTTATCCTTGTTACTCATTCAGGTCAAACTGCTTCACTAGGCCATCGTATGCTCACGCATACAACCCGTTCAATGGTGAAAATGACGATGACTATTTCTGATCGTATCGAGATGCAGATCAGGAACGAGCAATGGCAAGTAAATAAAAGTAAAGTACAGCACTTACATTCTGAGGAACATACAATCTTGCACTGTTCCTGTTGAACAAATAATGCAGGCGCATCAGTCGTATGCTTCATTGTCAGATACCAATCTGTATCAACTAAGTTGGCACATCACGTGCTAATACCTTTAATATTTGCACTTACACGCTAAATTGACGAAACGAACAAATCAAACAACGATTTTCATCACAAACTAAGCGAGTACCACGAATAAACCTTAGATACATGCTGATTAAGGGTTGAATCTCCCGATATGCTCTTACGAGAGGAAAAACGCCCAAAAAAGTGCTTGTCAAGAGAAAAATCCGTCCTTTTGAAATGACAAAATCCGAACAATACGTTTACTTAAATTTCTCATCAGCCAAAGGAACAATGCGGGCCGGGGTAGCTGCCCATCTGCTAACCAGCACACGCTGCAACCGCAGTTCTCCAGAATACTGACCAGGAGGAGAATATGAGAACACAAACATACCATTAAAACGAACGAGCATCGCACTGTGCTGATCAATCCCAGTTACCACAGAAATTCGTTTTGAAGTACTCCTTGTCCTTCGCTCTTATCCTCTTACCATTGTCATCATCACATATCTTTACTTTGCTCCTGACCTCAACCCTCACTTGACAGTTCTTCTCTTCCAAGATTTTCTTCTCCATTCCTCTTTTCTCCACCCTACCTTTCATCTTCCTGCCGTTCAAATAATTCACAATATCACCTAATATGGTATTCTTGGACAGACAAATCTCGTACACATCACCCTTCTTCTCCTTCAATTTTGCCAAGGCTTCTTTCACCTTCATCCTGTTGGCATTCCCCAACTCGTCATCGTATTCTGTATTGTAGAGCATATACTCATCAGCACTCTCGCACGTACTATTGCTTTCCTCTACGATATCGATCAAAGCATCCTGCAGGTTTTTCTCCTCATCGCATTCCCTCATCACGTGGGATAAATTTTTAATTTTTTATAAACAGGAAAGTGAAAAAATGCAAAAGCATCAACAGATGGCAAGACATAAGCATACGTATTAACCGTACGAGACGTGTTATAAATATGCAAGCACTTGAACTATCCATGGCATTGTATGATACGTGAAGTGCTGTATCATTTTTGATAACATTGTCAATTAGACATTTTGATAGTGATTGGTGGTTTGTTTTGTGGATTTGTGTGTGGCTTGGGCGGAGTTACTAAAAAGGGATGAATTAGGAAATGTATGAGTGAAAGTAGAGGCTTTGATCGGTGGAAGAGTTTGTGCACCAACCGATCAACACTCACCGCTGTTCTGAACAAGGTCCTGCTCTCAAATCAGCACACCATATGCAAAAGAATGCCTCACGTATTTGCGTGCGATGCGCTACGCTGTACCACGTAAAGATAGCAGTTCGTAATTTATGAGCGTTGGACGGTCTTCTTACGGGTCGAAAGCGACAGATGAAGCGGAGCATCGCTGTACACGTACAGGACCACAAAGCGATTCAATAAAAATGATGATGGGGATGGTAAAATGAATTGTTGTGAAGTGCGTTACACCGCTTTGCAAATAATGTTGGTGTAAAACACTGAGCATGTGATTCTTCTTACTTTCATGTTCAGGATGTGCTCGTCAGGCACAAACAATTGCGTGTTTTCAATCGAAATCTTCCTCATGCTCGATGTACAACCTGTCAATGCCACATTTCTTCCTTTTACGAATTTAAATGTGTCAAAAAAATTGAATTCTTTTGGTTAAGAAACGCAATACTGCTGGAATGACCGATAAGTTGCAAATAAACAAATTTACCACCTCAGTTACATCCTGCATGCTTGTTTGCTCATTTTTTGGCACGGTAGGGTGATTCAAAGAGTTTTGTTCGTTTGATCATACACTACGGCAAACGCATGGTGTTATGATGCCCTACTCATACGAAGCATCCTTTAGTACATCAAAAGTGTGAATGTTCGCCGTTAATACGGTGCTTGTTGCGTCTGGAGGGTGTATCTGTGCGGTGTCGCTACGTGCAATATTTTACCTTACGTGAGCACGTTCCTGACAAGACAGACTAGCTGAAAGTATCTCTTGCTTGTAGTTGAGGATATGAACGCAGGAACTGTTATATCAAACACGATTTATGTTTAACGGTGCCATTGCTTCGGCGACTTTCTCTAAAAAATTGAGGACCCTCTGTACCGCATGTCGCTGCAGGAACTGGCAAAGATGCTCAAGACGATCGATGACCTGGACACGAAATTGCCTGCCATAATAAATGATTCCGACTTGGATGCAAGAGAGAGCGCATACTGCAGGAAAATAGAATCGGTGACCAGTAAAATATTGGACATTCAGAAGAATTTTGAAAATACACAAGCTGATCTCAGCGGGTCAAAGGCTCTGATCGCCAGAATAACACGTGCAGAGCGCAACTTCATGGACCTGATCTCGAACTACCACCAGATAAAGAAATTGTCCACCACTTTCTTCAACATGAAGAAAACACGGCGATACGCCGATAAGATTGCGGTCAGGGACATAGAGGGTGACATAATCAAGTGGGATGAGTTTAGATGGAAATTGATGTACTACTCGGCTGACTTATCAGAGGAGAAATACCTTATGATTCAGCCGCTGATAAACGACGTTGAGAAACGATACCTTGAGTGGGAGATTCAGGTCCTTAAGGTCGGTGAAAATTTCTTTACACTTGATGACTATGGCGAGGAGTACTTCAACAGGGAAAATGTGCTGGATATGGTGGTATACGAGGAAAAAAAGGACTTGGAGGCACTTAGGGCGAAGAGAGGGCGAGATGGTGGCAACACAACGGTGGAAAAGGAGTATTTTGCGCTGGGAAGCACAAAGTTTCTGGTTGATACGGATGCTATAGAAGGCAACGAAATGATCAAGAGCTCCTTGGAGTACGACAGGGCGTTCTACAACACTAACAAGTCGCTGTGTGCAAGGCCTGTGCGTAAGCTGAAGTTGCGGTTCCTGAAGAACGTGTACAAGGCGATCACACAGAGAGAAATTTACGATGCTATCGGCGATCTTAAACTGCTGTTTAAGACCGAGGCATTCGATACAAAGAATGAAAATAGCATATTCGTGTTCTACCACACGTTTATCAAGTCAAAGATAAATTTGGGCACATTGGAGGCCGGAGACATCCTAAACCTGCTCTCATTCAAGAAAAGTTATAACACACTGCTGCAAGCACATGCCATGACAATGAAGGATGATATTTTTGATGAGGAGCGATTTATTGATCGTTATCTGTCAGTGTTGCAGAACAAGATTGTGCTGTGGATCAGCAGCATAACAAGTTTGGAGGTGGATATGCTGAAGACGAGGAGCAAGGCGCCTCCGCTGGACGAATCGAACCTCTTCATAAGCACTAATTTCATTAACCTGCTGAAAATTATCAAGGAACAGCTTGAGCCTGTGACGTTTGACGAGAGAATCTTCAAAGGTGTGTCCAAGTTTGTCCTTGACGGTGTGACCGACTTTAAGAATGCGATCATTTTGACCCTGGAAAACGAGTATAAGAGTGCTATATCGCTGTCCTCAACGCCTGGTTACGAAGAGTATGCCATCATGATTGGCAACAGCGGTCTCAAGCTTACACAATATATTGCGAACATTCCACAGTGCCAGAACGTGGAGATAAGTGAGCTGGGCGAAATTTTCATTTCCATTGTGAAGTCGAGCAACCAGTTCCTGATCAAATTCGTGCTAGCAACGCTGAAACCGGCAATCAAGGAGCTGTTTACCGAACAGTACTACACAGAAAAGGATTTGAAACAGATTACGGCCACTCTGAAAGACTTTCTGGAGGACTACAGGGAATGTATGAACGAGTACGTCTTTGTTACGTTCGTGAACGACCTGGCAGCAGAGTTTAGCATGGCGTATTTCAATCAGCTCATAAAGAAAAAGAGCCTGATATACCAAAGCTTGTGCGATAACATTGAGAATGACGAGGATGTAATGAATAGGCTGTTTGGTGCGTATTTGAACGAAGATGTTGTGAATTTGACCGTGCTCAATCCTCTGCTGGTCACACGATCGGTCGATACTTTTATTGCTGAAACGAAGAACGTGCTGTACACGTACGAATTTAAGAAGGACTTTATCAAGTCGCTGATCAAGAAGCGGTCTGACCTGGACGCCAACGAGATAAAAGAGCTAACGGATGCGGTTAACAGCGTGTACGTGAGTGATGAGGGCAGAAAGAAGAAGAAGAGCATGTTTAAGATGTTTAAGTTCAAGTAATTGCCATGGTTGTTTGGGAAGCTATCTGTGATGAAAAAGGCACTTATACTTTTCTTCGCTCTTCTCCTGTCATGGATTAAAGATAGCATTCGGTACTTTTACAATTATTACACCCTCTGTCAGCGTTGAATGAGGTATCACGATAAATCGTTTCTGGTGCCGTGAACACTTTTGCTTTTTTGATCCAAAAATATAAAAAGGCTCTCTTAGTAGAATAAAATAATAAAAGTTTGTTTAATCATCACTCCTCTCCGTAACAATACACACCCAAAAGCAAATCTTTGTAGGTTTGTTGCACATTTCATTTATCTGTCTTCAGTTAGATTGGTGATTCCTGTTTATAAAGATACTCTCATATTTTGATCTGCCATGTTCTATCATCTCATCCGATATTAACACAGAGAAGTAATAATTTAAAAAGCTGTAATAGTAAGTTTTCTTCAATGTTTGGTTTTGTTATTTAGTGTTTTCTCAGTTTGCACGCTCGTTTACATCCTTTCGCTTTCATTATGTACTTTTTGTTACATTTTGTCTTTCCGTTCGTTTCACTGCTATTCCTTGCGTTATTATGAGTTTTTGTTTGTGACTCCTATTTTGTATCCCTTGGTTTACATTCGGTAATCATTTCATCTCTTGTTGAAATACGGTACTGTTTAAATTGTCATTTTCTTACTTCTTTTGCCAGTAGATCAACACGTTTTGTACTTTTCTATCTCTTGTCCTCGAGGTCACCTAAGCTGGGCTGCATATCGTGACAGTTTTCATAAAAACAGCTCGTTTCTGACCAAAGCATTCTATTTTTTACTGAGTAGCTCTTTCTAGGCCTGAATACCACAGGATTAACAGCAATCATGCTGGTCGTTAATACTGGAAAGTTTTGGCGGTATAAGGTCAACGAGAAGAAGTTCCTGCCTGCATTACGGATATTGAATTAGCCTAACGCTCTGCTACAGGTGAAGATGCAAGCAAGAGTAGGATAGGTGGTGTGGAGATGAGTAAAGGACTTGTAATTGGAGAAAAGAACAAGAAATATGCCTTTCATACAGCAATCAGGTGTAAAATGCTGCTATAAGTCGAAAATGTACTGAACGGAGCAACTATAGTGATGAGTAAACGCAATTGAATCGATGTGGGCCAAGAAATGTACAAGCAAACAGCGAATGCTTAAAAGAGTACGTTTATATGCACGCTTCGCTACGATTTGTAACAGATCTAACGCATTTTAATTACGTATCACTCAACGTAGGTGTCACCTGCCTCCTCAACCGGCTTAAAAATAGCCAATCCATCCTGTGATGTTGTTATGATATACTCATCAAGAAACGTACACTCCTTGTAGTAGTTCTGCCCCTGATGAACGAAGTACAAGTACTTGTGGTACTCCCAGTCCTCCTCAAAGCCCCTGTCCCACAGACACACCTGCTCATCCGAAAGCGTGCAGAACACGTCAGCATCCTTGAATTTGACCGCACTGATCGGTGATTTGTGCCAGTGTATTTTCTCCATGTTCTTAAAATTCCTCATTTCGCTGAGAAACACCGTGCCCGAGTCATCGCCAAACAGAAAATTGTCGTTGGTTGCATCCACTGAGTTGATATTAACATCGGACTGGTACGTATAAACCGTCTGTTCGCTTCTTATGTCTGTTACCTTCAGCGTGTTATCATTGCTTGCTGAGAATAAGAGACCGTTAGCGAATGCAAGACCGTCGATTCCCTTGCTGTGCACCTGAAACACGTCCTTGCTCTGGTCAACGATGTCCATCTTGATGATCTCACCTTCCTGTGTGGTCAGGAAGATGTAGTCGTTTGTAAGCACCAGGCCATATGAGAATGTATTTATCAACTCTACGTCTATTTCAAGCTTGTTGTTCATAAAATATGCCATATCATCGCCCACCGCTATTATCATATTCGAATTCGAGCGTATTCTGTTCACGTTTCCCTTCAAATTCCTCTGTTTGTGCTTGAACTTCGCGTTTTTTCTCAAATTTTTGAATGTCAGCTCAACAATCGATGCGCTCTCACCGCCTTGGGCCACCAGAACTTTGTTTCTGTGTGTGATGATGGTTTGTGAGGGATATTCCAGCGTGACATACTCTAAATAAGAGTATGCCTCGCTATTAACCTCTAATTGAACCAATAAATCATTCTCCGGGTAATAAACTTCGTATTCTGATGTTGAATCGGACATTGAGGGTGTCTTGCTGTGAAAAAAGAAACAAAAGTTGAATAGAAAGGAAAAGCGCGGCATGATTCATTGCAAACACCGAAGAAACGGTGAATGGTATTTGAATGATGTGCATGTTGCAGATGAGTTAGAGGTCTTGAAAAGAAATCTCTTCGTGTGAAAACCGCTATCATCTAGCGGCACAGAATGAGAAATGTTTGTATGAGGAGGAAAGTTAGTGAGTGAACCTTTTTAGAAAGTTGTTTTATTCAACAGAAAATTACAAAGCGAACGTAGTAACCGAACGGAAGAGGTGATCTTCAACTTATCATTCAATTCTTGTGCTAGGACTGTATAAAAGAACAATAATGCTTTTATGTAGTTGAACACGTTCATTAAACCATATATGTGGCCCTATACCACGCTACTGCAGCTATCAATTTCGTGATACTTTCGATGTGTAGAAAACTAATATTTATTTTCATGACATAGCCGGTCCTACCATTCAGTGTCGTGAGGAGGAACTGAAACAGTAAGTAAATTAGATTAAACAGTGTGCTTGGTAGAAGAAATATTCGCACAATTTTTTGTTAGAACCGCATTTTATTGTTCCTCTTGGTTTTATACACGTGATGAGCCTCGTGTATGGAGGTACGTTCAGTTGAGCATGGGACCTCTTGCTTGTTGTGCCAAAAACGTAAAACTGTCTTTCCACCTCGTTAAAAAGCTGGCAAAACACCAGAGCACCGATAAAATACACGAGAGTATCTTTTTGGATTGTGGTGTGCTCATCGACTTTTTGCAAGTGATTGTTCGCCCCTCCGATTAAAAATTGATGCAGAGCGGTGATGTGCAGGATGTAAGCAACGAAAACGTAAACAAGCACGCGAGAAACGGAGAGCATGTTCATTCACTAGATTTACCGGATCATATCGGTGGCACGCCTGTCCACACAGCAGAATCGGTTCTGTTGTACGATATAGACAAAATGATCGTTAAAACATCATGTTTTACGACACAGGGCAGGGGATCGTACCCTGAGAAGCGGAAAATGGAGGAATACTTGAAATACGGTGTTATTTATCTGGACAAGCCGAGAAATCCATCATCACACGAAGTTGTCACGTGGATCAAAAATATTTTGAGAGTGGAGAAAACAGGACATGGGGGAACGCTTGACCCGAAGGTTAGCGGTGTTCTCACCGTCTATTTGAACAGAGGAACAAGGCTCAGCAAGATAGAACAGAACGCAGGCAAGGAATACGTGTGTATTATACGAATTGATGGTGATGTGAATGAAGAGAAATTCAGGGATGCGCTGCGGTTCTTTGAGGGTCGGTTGATACAACGGCCACCATTAATTAGTGCTGTGAAACGGAATGTGCGGATGCGATCGGTTTATAGAAACGAATTTCTGGAACTTAGAAAAGTTGAAAGCGCTTACTACGGGCTGTTCAAAGTCTCATGCGAGGCAGGTACGTATATCAGAGTGTTGTGTGAGCACATTGGTCTGTATCTGGGAATGAAAGCGGAAATGTTGGAGCTTAGAAGGATTCGAAGCGGATCGATACGTGAGGAGCAGTGTTTCACGATGCACGACGTGCTGGACTGTCATCATATACTCGAAAAAAATAGTGATGAGCGGTATATAAGACGAGTCGTGCATCCAATAGAATACTCGCTCAGAAATTACAAACGAATAATGGTCAAGGATAGCTGTGTGGATGCTCTGTGTAGCGGAGCAAAGCTGTCCCTAAATGGTGTTATCAGATTCGACAGGAATATAAATATAGGAGAAAAGGTGGTCGTGATTACCACGAAGGGTGAAGCGATCGTTCTTGTCGAAACCCTTGTGAGCGGTACGGAGATGCAAATCAATGAGTATGGATTGATCGCACGCACGCTTAGGGTTATAATGGAGAAGGTCTGTATAAGAGCACATGGGGCACAAAAAAATTTAATATGTTTTGAACGACCGGGTGATGATACCTCAAGGAGACAAGAAAAAGACGTATTGTGCTGCATTGAAGTTGCTGACAAAGTGGTAAATCGCATCCTTGAGTTTGGTAAAATTAAAAACTGTTCATCAGGATCTTTGCTGAAAATGTTGTTGCTTGCTTGACGTGCCAAGGTTTGTCAGGGTTTGCATCCGTACATTCCTTCAAGGAATAACGGGCAGCTCCACTGTGTTGAACAAAATTTACAAATCCATTAATTGTTTAAATATGTATGGTGCTTCTGTACGCTTAGCACACTGCAAACGGCCAATCAATTCTTGCGGGTTGCCGTCAACCATGGTGGGTGCGAATAGTGTGGTGAAATATCAACCATCCGTGTCTCTTTTATTGCACTGAGAACGACCACAGCAATGGCGATCATCGACAAATTGCTTCATTAATACGCTTCCAACTTAAAATAGGGATAATAACAATTTTGGCTCTCAAGCTGCTATAGAAAGACTACATTGTAACACAAAAAATGCTTTGATTGCTTTTAAAAATATATTTGGCGTATTTTTGCACAAAAGGCTAATTTTTAATAAAAAATTATTCCTTTAAAGTTAAATAGATGAATATAAAAAGTTGAAATCAGATTGGGTCGATGGAAAATGAAAACACATTGTTCATGGATAATAACTCAGCGCAAATAGGAAGGCATCTCCTGTCTTATGAGGCTGATGAAAATATTGCTATAGCTGTTTCCACAGAGAGACACTCCGAGTTTAAGTACCACTATGTGAGGATGGTCAAGGGACTGAAGAATTTTTATAATTTGGTAAATGACCATGGTATTTATCATTCCGAGGTATGGAAGAGCACACTTGAAGAAAACAAGGTATTGGTGATCGTACTGATCATAGTAGTGATTCTGCTGATCATTCTTATCGTGATAGCACATAAGATTGATAAACCGTACTTCATCTACGATGATACTATCTACTACGCCACGGGCAACAATATCCGAAGCAGACCTGTCGATGACGGTATAAGGAACAGAGTAGCATTGATCGGACACATCAACAGCTATGAGCTGAATCCTGACGAGCTGACACAAGAATGCATGCGCACGAGATCCGGAAGAAAGGCTTTAGAATATACGCCTTCTTGTAAGAGAGTTATGGAAAATTTCGATGAGCCTTGCTACGAAGAAATGATGCTGAAAATCAGGAACAGATCCGATTATAAAGCCGAAATTTTTGAGAAAATTCTGGTTCTGAATGACAAGGAGCATCTTATTCGGCCTTTCGATCTTCCATCAAATTTTGAACAAAACCAATCTGATGGATCATACTATGATGACCGTGCGAAATCATCATCAGGACTAACAAACATGAGACATACGGAAAATAACATGTCCCATGCAATATCCACATCTATTTACCCGAGAAGCATTTATGAAGCTGGAACAACACCATCAACCTCACTGGCCTCGTACAGCACATCAAATGTTAAAAGCCATGATCGTCGGAACAAGCAATGGAGAGGAAATGAGGTTGAAAGTATTCCGATGCGCACAATGAAAATTTCGATGCCAGGGCCAGCAAATAACGACGACGATGATACGTCGACATTTACGTCAGTTTCTCAGCAGGGAAACAGGGGAATGTCACATTTGAGGTCTAAATTGAGCAAACATTTCTCATCGCACTGGTTGCCTGTAACGAATAATGAACATTCTAGTCAGCGACCAATGAACGGCTGTCCATCAAATCGTGGAAGGGATTCACCTATAACTAACACAAGCAGTAACTTGGCTGGTCATAGTCGCCAAGGTTTGGCAAAATCGTTACACACACAGCAACCATTCCTCAAGCAAACAAAGGATAACCTGATGATGAAATTCCTTGGCACACTGCCGGATAAGCCTATCCGTGTCCCTGAAAATAATGACGAGGAAAGCTCAATCTTTACCAATAGCAGTAATTCTAACCGCAAAAATCCAAAATCACAGCGTTCATACTGTTGAGCGCTTAAGTTTGACCCTTGCAGTTCTCATGAGCGTGTTTTACAGATTTTCATGAAACGGGTCCTGCAGTCAAAATACGTTTCAAGAGACAAATCTCGGGTTGCACACGGTGTCACCATATTAAAAGTACTTAATCTCAGCACAGAAGGTATGAGGCATCTTTTAACAACAATGAAATAAAAAGAATTGGAAAATATTGCAGTGGCAATTATTTTCGATACTCCCTATGCTGTTTAGTCAATTATTTTACTACCATAGCCTTGTATTTACAACGTTGTACAGCCGTATGTTCATTAATAGCCGTTTATTTATCTTCTCATATCATAACATCCGAACAACACGTTCTTCTAGTCTGCTAGAGCTGGCATATACACGAGATATAAGACTGGTCAGCTAAAAACTTTATTTCTAATATTATTTGATGATCGGTGAAGGTGGTTTTTGTCTGTTTGAAAGAGACAAGCTCTTATGCATCCAAGCATAGACTACATCAACGTTTTTAGTTCCTTATGCTTGTACTTTGTAAAGATTACATGATGTGTTGGTAAGCAGTGCCTTATTGATAAAGATAATGAAGTATATTCGATACAGCAAACACCTTGTTCTGCTATCTGATCACCTCATAGGATAAAGGGGAAGAACCAGAACATCCCTTGAGCAAGGCTCAAATATAGCCAAGCGTACACTTCTCAACAACTGCCATAAAGATAGTATGAAATATGATTCATCGCTTTATAGCTGAGAAATGAGTGTAAATATGCTGGCAGCTTTATTAGTTGTTGGCTTAATACACATGAATCGATATAACAAGCTCATATTGTCAATTCAACGTACAAATGGTTTGCTGTGATATAATAAGCCGTTCATTGTATGGATTGCACCGAGATAAATGCTGATTGCACTGTATTTTGAAGAACGTTCATTGTATGGATTGCACCGAGATAAATGCTGATTGCACTGTATTTGAAGAAACTGCAACAATTAACCTTTTATAAACATAATTGCTTAAAGTTATGATCTCGTTGTATCAACATTAAATAAAATGTCCTTCTAAGCAGCAATAACAGGCAAAACCTCACATTCTGGTAATGCTGTTTATTTAAATATCATTCCGTTGTATCAAAGGTACATTTCACAGTCATGTACTACGATAACACTTCGTTAATAAACTCTTTTGGCCTAAAAATACCGTAATTAATTCGTTGAATGGCAGTCAAGCCACTGACACGGCAGGTGGTAGCGTACAAGATTAAACTCCGCATACTACAATAGTACGGTGCTCAATGGTTGTGCTCTTGTGTGAGTAAAAACGATTAAACATGGCAGTATGACCGTGTAATGGTGTATTGTGTTGCTTGTGCCGCATCGAGAGACCTTCGAAGAGCGTAGAAAAGAACTTATTTTCCATTTTTTTTTCTTTTTCCAGCACCCCATGCTGTTCTATGTCCTACTGATAGAGCAGGTTTCGGATACCAAAATACGGATCTACGGCAAGGAGAGGCTAAGGGTTGGGGATAGCGGCCGAATGACGTATGGCGAAAAAATGGCAATAACGCTCACCGTTAAACCGGAGCACTTGCATTACATGGGTTTGATGGACAAGGATGTTCTTTCAAATGTGGATTATGAAACGGTGGTAAAGAAAAACTATTTTTATGCCGATTTGCCGGCCAATCTAGAATTGATCAAGTGTAATAAGAAGAACTTGAAGGGTGCCGTTAGATCCTTTACCGAGTTCTCTTCTCCAGCAGAACAGTTCATAATTACTAAACGAATTAGGGGACCTGGAATAGTAGAAATTTCTGAGATATACGAAACAAACACAGAGCTGATCACCAAAGAAGAAGACATCAAATTTATGGAGCATGCTGAGTACCCCCCACTTATAATAGGAGCTCTTTTCGTAGCAGATACGTTGTTAAAGGTTAATCTGTACAGAATGGAAGACAGAAAACACGTTTTTCTAAAGGTAATCAATTTTACCGATATAAGAAGTGAATCGGTCGATGTTCTGGTCCATCACAACATGCATTTGAAGAGTATTAGTGGAGTATGGGTGATTGACACGTTTGAGTGTGCAAAACAACTCATGAGGGGACGGTCTTTCTGTCTTAATGAGATCCTGGGCAGGAACTTGCTAGAGAACAGCGCGAGTGATGGCTATCAGAACGGTAACTGTGGTAAGAAATATGCAGAAGATACCTTTTGTGCGCTGATTAAGCTCGGAGTTCTTGATTTGTGCAAAGAGTTGTGTGAGATTACAGGGCACCAGTTGGACCGTACCATAACTTTTAGAGCAGAGAGAACGGAGTATCTCTTGATGCACAGCATGTATCAGAAGAAATGGTTGATTTGCAGGGAACGAAAAGGAAATAATCATTATACAGGTGGGCTGGTTCTTGAACCACGAACTGGTCTGTTTGAAAACATCATCCTGATCGATTTTAACAGTTTGTATCCTTCGATAATAATCGAGGAGAATCTTTGCTTCTCGACCATTAATAGAAAAGCACGTGCCGGCAAAGAAAATGTTGATGGTGCATGTGCTGGCAACACGGAGGAAATGGCATTGTTGCCCGCGATACTTAGCACGTTGATTACAAGAAGAAAGAAATTGAAGCAAGAGCTGGTGAAGAAGTATTCGTCTACGTATGATGCACGACAGAAGGCCCTAAAAATCACGGCAAATGCTATTTATGGGTGCCTGGGAAGTACTGGCCGATTTTCAAATCTAGAGATGGCGGCTTTCATCACGGGTCGGGGCAGGGAACTGTTGATGAAGGCGAAATCGGAAATAGAGAAAATAGGACTGACGGTATTGTACGGAGATACCGATTCTCTGATGATAAAGAGTGACTGCAGTGTTGAAGAGATACCGTCTTTGGCACAAAAGATCTGTGCCAGCATTAATAATCACTACAAATTCATAAGCATTGAAATGGAGGATATTTTCGAGAGGATAATTTTGTACACGAAGAAGAAGTACGCGGGCATTACAGTGAAAAAGGAAATAATACTCAAGGGAATTGAGAGAAGAGATTACTGCATGCTAAGTAATCAGTTCATATACGATGTTATATGGATCCTTCTAACATCTAGCGATCACAATTTGGTAATGAAAAGGCTTATAGAGCTAAAAACTAATTTAAAAACATACGGCAAGGAAAATTTCGTGCTTGAACGAATGCTTAACAAGGATCCTGAGAAGTACACAACACCTGAGGGATCGCCCCAGGTACAACTTGCATTGAGGATCAATGAGCACATCACGAAAAACAACTTGAAAATGCCTTTGTACAAGAAGAACGACATAATATCGTACGTAATGGGTCATGATGGTGCCTTTCTTCCGACAGAGAGCTTAGAGATCAACTACGAGTACTATCTAGAACAGCAATTTCTTACTCCATTTTTCCGACTTGTCGGTGTGCTCAAAAATTTCAATGTAGATGCCGTACGAAGACTTTTCAACATACAAAAGCGTGTTGTTTCTTCTTTGCGTATAACCACGCCTTGCTGCAACACGCCACAGTCACAGACAGCTTTCTGCAACACATGCAATGCTGAAATAGACAAAAATTTCTTGCGCAATCAGGCCATCGATAATTTACGTGCAGAGATTGAGCTTTTGTATGAACGCAAAGTGATGTGCCCGAATTGTGATAATGAGCAAGGTCTGTTCCTTAATTGCTTTAACTGCGGCTCCAACATTCCAAGAAAGACGCGTAATAAGGAGTTCGATGATTTTCTTGACGATTGCCGCGGTACATTTCCCTCTTTCGAGATAGATGAAATAACGAAGATGAGTGAGTACAGAACGGTAAATCTGTTCTTATATTTTAGGGAGGAAATTGAGAGGAGTTTTACAAAGTAGTACTGTGCCCTAATGGGGAATAAGACATGCTTATTTTGTTGTGCATTCCCCATGATATGTTACCATTTATTCTCCACAGAGCAGGCGACTGTTTTTGATAGTTTCATTACCGCTCATTAATTTTTTGTTCCATCGTTCGTGAATGGTGAAGATCAACGTAGCAAATCAAACATTTAACACGTGTTAAAGCTATGATAATGAAATAAACTTTGTTATGAATGTTTATTGTTTAGACAGTTTCTTCTCATGCTATGTTTGAATAAGGCATCATCCTTTGATAGCTATTATTTACGGCCTTGTCTGATTCGCAGTCTTTTCCATCAATTCGTGCTATGCTAAATTCTTCAAGGTTTATTTCTACCTTTCTAGTCCACCTTCGATATGAAGAGCGTTTCGGCTGTGCAATAAGTGATCTAACAGTGCTTGGTATGTGTTCATATGACCTAAAGTATGAATCTATTCAAAAAATATGAAATAGCGAGCTGCAAAAATGCTGAGGTTCAAAACTTAGTACATGAAATAAACACAGCAGACAAGTTTTTATATCATATCCTGTCATAGGCTTTTAGTGCTGTGGACTTGTTTGGCTGAAGAAAAATTGGTGATAACCACGTTGCGCTAGGCCAATGTGGTAGACCATAAGATTGAAAGGGTTTTATCCGAGGGAACACTCGTTAACTGTGGGTGGGCGCGGTTCCAATCCGATAAATGCTCATCGATTTGAAGGCTATAACTGAAGCAATAGCTGATCTTTAGATCATTTCTGTGCGGCTGCCCAGCAACTCCAGTGCAGGATCGTTTTAGAATATAACAGTAGAATCAATGCTAGCCCGTTATTACGAAGACAAAGGCCAAAAAGCTGATTTAGCAAGACGTCATACACAGAGCATGCTAAATGTGGTATTTTAACAAGCTCTTTGATGAACAAACAACATTCTTAAAACATGCTTAACAGGCCAATCCTAATATGTTCTTCATGAAGGATGGTATTTCGTGTTTGACAGTCAAACAAATCGCACAAGATATCGTTGAAGATCTGGCTCGGACAGATGCGCAAAGAGAATACCGAATAACCGAGTCAACTAGTTTCGTATGATCTTTTATGTCGTGGCATAAAATATACCATCAAATGAACAAACTTATTCATCGTTGATGATCACGAGCAACTCTACGTACACAGAACCTGGAGAATAAGCCATCCGTACTCAGTCAGAAACCAATAGACCATTTCTTCTGACCCTGATAATCAAAACACATCCATAGATCCGTAATAAGCTTTAATAGGTGTGTTATATGGTTATTCGTAGCTAGCAAATCATTTAATGGAAACCAATAATACTCAAAATATGCCATTAGATGGTGATATTCCGATTTGCACAGCCATTTTTCATACAGTTGTTTTAATAGAACGTGGTTCATCTATAATTTAAGGCATACCACCTAAAAAAACATATTTTTGACTTTTTTATATCACACGCACTTCCTGGTTTGCTCACATCCTCCTGTATCCTGCCAGACCGTATTTTATCAAAAAAATTTTGCGTTCTAAATTTAAAAATTGTAAAAAATTTTACCCCCGTGTGGATGATTATACTGATCAGTCCTGCTACTGAGCAATGATGAAATCAACTATGACACACCATTTTTCAAAACACCTTTTTCATTTGTTCATTAAATCTTAGTTTCTAATAGGTGTTTCTAGTATTTTTATCACTGTTCGATTGTATTCGTTATCCTGGCTTATAATGTCACCAAGTGAATAAAGGAGAAGTTAGATGGCAAGAACACACAGGAACAGAGGGCTCTGCTCCGGTGTTAAACAGCGTTTTAAGCAACTCTACGAATACTTCTTCACGAAAAAAATAAGGGTGGCCTTTATTGGGCTTAGCGACTCTGGCAAGTCCTCGTTTGTATCTCCTCTCTTCGAGAACAGATTTTTACAGGATATGAATTCACCTGAGGTGAGAATACAGGAAAAGAAGATGGATAACATCAAGGTTCTAATATATGACATTCCCGGCGATTCTAGTTCAGTTTCGAAATGGGATCACTACTATAAGAAATCGGATGTAATCATTTTCTTCCTGAACTCAACGGCTGACGAGGAAACACGAACAAAATCGAAAAACGAATTGCATTCGCTGCTCTATAGGAACATGTGGATGAGGAAAAATCTGCTGATTCTTGGATCAAAGAACGACTTGCCCAGTTCGATGTCCTGCAAGGACATTATTTTGGCGTTGGATTTAATGGCGATTGTTGATAGAGAAGTAGCATGTTATTCTATTTCAAGCAAAAACTTGACCAACATAGATTTGGTACGCGAGTGGATGGTTGAGCAGGCAGCTCTGGTTGGCGATATGAAATGAAATTAGATGATATCATTTGAGAAATGTTTAGTATAAATAAATTAAACAACCATTCACAGTTATTGAATACGGTTATTTTGCTATATTGATCCACACTTGGACGCGATCATGTCTCATGACGTGCAAGTAGTGATTGGTAACTGCTTGATGGTGAATCGTAACAGAACACCATGAGTTATTGTCCAACCCTTGCATATCATCAAACATGCATCGGTGGTTTTATCCTTGAAATGACGGATTACTTAGATCTTTAACAAATTGCCATTTTTTTATCGGCAGAAAAGCAGATTAACAACATCCGTGTTTTTTACTAGGGGCATGTCTATGTATACACCATTCTCTCACGTAGCAGAGATCTTCTAAACGGTAATTTCTTACTGTTTAGTGAAGTTTTTCAGTATATTTGGTATAATTTCATTTTGTAGCAAAACTTGATTTGTAGATCATCATGAGATCTTTCAAGGCCAACTAGTAATATTTAATACCGAGCACTTTTATTTTGAATGAGAAAACTACCAAATTTAGCATCGTTATGTTCTACTCAGTGCAAATTGAATTTCATAAAAAGCAATAAAAAAATTTTTAAAGAAACGCTCATCAACCAATCGGTCGATGATAAAGCGATAACATGCAAAAATAGCGCTTAAAAGAACAAATAACATGAAATAGAGGACGTAGTAGCGTAGTGTACAAACTTTTATCTCCCTTTACTGAGAATATAACAAACTACATCTTGTAAATTATCTGATATATCAGCTATCATCGCAGCGATGATATTAAAGGTCCAAATATCTATGTAAATCTCCTAAAAAGGTATATGATCTGCTCGATGTGTGCCATAAATTGTGAAATATCATCCTACAAACGTTTTAAACAGTTTAAATTATCGCTTTGGTGTTGTTGTTCCTGTAACTAAGAATCGCTCTCATTCACCCGATACCATCCGTACCAAAAAGCATATTTATTCGTGTCCTGCATCCGTGGTTCAAGCATCTACGAACAAGAGCACTGAACAAGTTTACTAGGGCCAGTGGCGACAGACCAACACTCTTCGCTCCGTACTTCCATGTTGGTAAAGGAGGGCTGTCCATATTTGTAATTGACCTCCTTGGTCAACCGGGCATCCATAGGCCCCTGAATTACTTAAAGACATGGAGAACAACGAATCGGTAGAGCATGAAACAGTAAATGACAAAGATAAGAGGATAAAAACACTCAAAAATGTTTTAAAACATAGCTGCATCATATTGAGCCTCATTATTTATTGCACATTCGCCATTTTGTTCACATTTCAAAATCGTTTTATTTTCAAAAAATCAGAAAATTTTGTCTCCTCAGAAACACACAGCTGGTTTACAATGTCATTCTCAATATCAATATCGATTGGCACAGAAAATCATATTAATTTTGGTACCGTAGAACATGGCAGTGATACTGATCTATTTCTTTTCCATGATAGAACGATGAACACAATTGCATTGAACGAAATGATGGCGGGATTAACGCGCTATAACATAATTTATTACCATGCAAAGGAATACGAGGATGGCACGTTCATCAAAGATACGAAAAAAACGCTTGAGAATATTAGGACTCTTGTAGAGTTTATGAGTTATAGAAGAAATAAGGTGGTCGTGTATGGGCAATCATTTGGTTGTTATTTAGCGCTTCTGTCCACAAAAATTATGGATAAGAAACTAACACTAGTTCTAGCAAATCCTTTTTTTTCATTTCGATCGGTTGTAAAACATCAGTTCTTTCTTCCCCTACACCTCCTGCTTGTAAATGATTGCAACAATTACAAGTTGTTGAAGAAATTTAATGGTAAAATGATGTTAATTTTATCGGAGAATGATGCATATTTGCCGAAAAATGATATTAAAAAGATGAGAGAGCTTACCGAGTCGAAGAATGGGCAGATCTTTGTTATTGAGGGTGCTGGTCATTTTGATGTGAGTAAGAAAGATCAATTCTACACCATTCTAAATAATGACATAGCCAGAGAGGTCGAGTAGTGTAAGTATATAAAAATGAGAAGAACTAATTTTGCACTATCCTTGTTATGGGAAGATGCTTTATCTATTGTTTGCATTGATAATTTGTAATTTTAACAGCCATTATTAGTGTGTGGTATTCTTTTACTAAAAATACTTTTACTTCCTCACACATCAACAACATCCAAACAATACAATTCTCTGATCTGCTGGGACCGAACATGGCCACACTTATGTTGTGGTGTAATATGCTTAATGGCCTTCAGTTATGGGCTCAGAACGTGGATATAGTTCATAATTATAAACGGTAATTTTGAATTTGTTGCTGTATTTATTACGTTACACTTCCATTTTATTCTATATTGAAATGGTGAAAGGTGTTATTTCAGCTGGTGATGAAAGACAAGCAACACAATTAATTTCTTTTAATCGGTTTTAATGACAAAAATTGTGTAATTAAACCGTTTTTTCTACCAAGGATCAGAATTATTTTTGAATCTGTAAATCCTGGGTCTGCACTCTATCATACCCGTATAGTGGTCATGGCTCCTGGTGAAGCTTCTTTCCCATATGTTGTTGTATACTAGCAACCGGGCAGTCATAAAAATCGTGTCGTATATCATCTTGCAACAGTGAAGACTCCACATTCTTTATGAACATCACCTACGAGTTAACACTTTCTGTCTTCTGAGCACATTTTCTGCCAACTCGTCTCTTTGGCATGACGACCTGTGCCTCCATCTTCACGTATTTGTTTACCAGAAGAGAACCAACCCTGGTTGTTGTGAGCAGCAAAGTCAATCTCCTGGCCCGACTGCCAAGTTACAGCTCGACTGTTTAAATCATTTTTCGTGTATTTCAATTCACAACGCTGATGGTGTGCACCAACAATTCTATGTTCCGTGTTTTTCAATTCAGGCACTTTTACCAAATCTGTAACCATCTATATAAAAGAGATTAAATGAATCAATTTATCGCTAATGGTGGAGTATTGTTTGAAATGACTCATTTGCTATGTTACCAGGTGGATAATATTACTTTTATATGGATAAATGAGTGCTTTCGGCATATCAACCAAGGATGCATTGCCAACATGCACTTGACGAGGTATCGCGATTTCATGGCAAAACCGTTGAAACACCTAAGACTTTGCAGACAAATGTCGGGATAAAGATTGGTTCATAATATTTACGTGTTTATTTGATTGGTTGTTTGATAAATTACAAATCCTCAATACGCCACTCCTTTAGAACTACCCATAGAAAATGGAAAACAAGCTTGTAGCGTTTGATATCATCAATGATAAACAAAAAATGTTAAAGCTGACCAAAACAACCCTAAAACACATAAGCATAGTGTTATATTTCGTTTTATACTGTGCTGTTGTAATCACATTTGCGTTTCAGAACCAATTTATTTTTAGAGCTCCAGAAGATTGCAAATTGATTGGTAGAGAAACGGCGTTTGCACGGATACAGACCTCTTCAAAAAACGATAGCGAGTTGAAAATATACGTCAAGAATAACAACAGCGAGGTTGATCTGATCTTTTTTCACGGTCGTACAATGAGCGTAAAGGTGCTCGACAAGGTCACAGAGGGATTAACAGGCTATAATATCATCTACTACTACTGTAGGGGATACGAAGACGGTACGTTTGTCAGGAACAAGAAAAATATTATGGGTGACGTTGCTGCACTTGCTGAATTCGTAGGTTCAAGAACAAGAAAAAAAATGGTAGTTTTTGGTCAGTCATTTGGTTGCCATTTCGCACTGTATTTCACAAAATTGATGAATAAAGACCATATCTTGGTCCTTGAAAATCCCTTTTACTCATTAAGATCTGTCATTAAGCACAAATTTTCTCTTCCATTGTATTTCTTGCTTGCTCATGATTACAGGAACGCAGAGCTGTTGGAAAAAGTCACTGGTAAAATCTTTTTGATTTTATCAGAGAATGACAGATATCTACCAAAAATAGATATCGTTAAAATGAGAAACCTTATAGAATCAAAGAATGCACAAATTTTTGTCATTGAGGGAGTGGGCCATGCCGATGTGGGCAAAAAAGAAGAATTTTTCTCAATTTTGAATGACAACGTGTACAGCGAGGTGGCATAGATACACACAGGTAATAATGGCGATTAAAATGTGGGTCCAATAATGTTTTCGTTATTTACACGGTTCAGTTCTTTACCTATCTCATTTAACCGTCTGATATAGGAAAAAATAGTGCATATTGATGTGTCAAAATGTTTAGCTGATAGGTAGCCGGATAATGTTATTGATACGGGCAAATAATGCTTATGACAGTCAATAATTCTCAAAGACCGTGCTATAGTTTATAAATTTGATCTTGATCATGTTATTCGCAGCAAACAGACATTTTCAGCACTTAAAATACAGACATCAACACAATCACTGCATATCATCTCAGAGCATCTCATTTCTTGAATATTATGTTGTGAGTAAAACGTAAAACTACGCAATTATAAGGTCATAGCAACGGATTGGTTAGTTTAAGTGATTTAAGATTGTGTTATGGGTATTAAGGCCTACAATTACGCAATAATTCCATTACAAAAATACTACTGCAGTGTGAACTGATGGAGGAAGTGAGGAAAACCAAAAAACGGATACTGCTCTCTCACAGCCGGTAAGCAGACAGTAAACGAAATTTTAGCTAAATAATTTTGAGATCAAGCCATGTGCACAATTTCTACAACATATTACCGCAACTTTCTGTTAACGAAAAACATGATTAATAATCTCAAGGTACAGAAGCTGTCACAGCAGGATAAACGCGATCAAACCACGCAATACATAAGAAACCCTGCACCATTCCCAGGAAGACTGCTGGTGCACGATCAGCGATCCGGTCATTAAAAACGACATTAATAGAGCATTATTGGTAGATATCTTGGGTAGTTACCAGCCTTGGCGAATATTAGGGAACATTAAAACTCAACATATCGTATTTAATTTAAACATCAGACTCATCTGCTTCTACACTTGGCTCTTCCTCAATTTCTGTTGTATCGTCCTCTTCCTCAGGTGGTATCTCATTCTCAACAATCTCCACACGTATCTCAACGTTGCAGTCGCTAAAATACTTTTCAAGAGCACCAAACTCGTCCTTATCAATGCTGGAAAACAGGTAAGCCGTGTCATATGTTATTATTTTCATATCGAACGACTTGCTTGTCATCACGCTCACGTCAACACGATAAAACTCAACCAACCGTATCTCACGGTGTGGCATGTAAATCACCTTCGGCAAGAAAATAACTGCATCAGCTATCGGAAACAGAAGACCCTCCAGCGCACGCAGTGCGCAGCTGAGAAATATCTGGTTGGCTTTGGTCTTAAAGCCTTCACTCACCTGCACCTTTTGCCTTGTAAACAACTCAATTATTTCTATAAAAGTTTCGTGAAGCTCACCGGTGTACTTCTCTTTCAATGTGGGATATTTTGATCGCAGATCATCGTCAAGCTCTACCTCAAAGTCCTCCACAATTCCCTTCTCAAAGAGCAGATTTATGAAATTGTATCGTGTCTGTCCTTGTTTGATCGACGGATCAACGTTGATGATGATATTAACGACCTTCTCCTGTTCCAACACCACAATTCTTTTGATAGAACTGTACAACACTTTATGTTCGTACGTTCTTCCGAGCACTCTTATGTAATTCTCGCTAAAGATGTAGTCGCTTTTACCTCTTGGTGACACGTTGTTGAGGGTCTCAAACGCTATAATGCTCTTTACCTGTCCAATTTCACTGCGTTCTCTCAAATTCTTCACAAAATTTTCATCTGGAACACCCAGTCTCATCTCAATCACCCCGTCAAATTCTTTATCACAATCAAAACCTAAAACCGCCTCATTCTTAACGCTGCAAACGCTTACAATGTCCTTCAACGAAACATCAAATATTAATTTGTCGGTTCTGTACTCCAAATAATCATCCGAAAACGTAACTTTTCCTTTCGTTGTGTCCACTATCTCCAGTGGTTTCACGTACACATTTATTGAATACCAATGGCCGCACACCTTCTTGATCTCCTCGATCTTCTCTTCCAGAATGTTGTTGATGTTGAATATTTTCGTCTTTGTGGTGATTCTCATGCTGTACAGACGCGTGCCACGGTACAATTCTATTCTATGAATGTCATCTTTCTTTATTGTGGTGATTGCGCCGCTGTCGAGGTTCTTCATCGCCATTCCCTTGTCTGCCAGCCTCAGGTTTATGTTTTCATCATCGTTATTAGTGTTGAGGAGGAACAGGTTGTCCAGGCTGATTACGTCTTCCATTTCAAGGGGCACATAAAAATTTTTCATATGTGCTCTTCTCTTTGACCGCTCGCCAGGAGACTCGTCCTTTTATCCAATACAAGTGAAACACGTGTGAAATCGTGTAATAAATATGACAAATGCAACATTTTGGTAGCTAAACAGCCATTATCTCACATTAATCCCACATTCTGGTGTATTGACACCAACAATCGCTCACGCCTACCAAGCGCGATAATTATTGTGCGATCTGTTCGTCATTTTTAATATTTCTTGTCAACGCATGTTTTGTATAAAACACATTTTTAGGATCAGTTTGGAACATTTGCTGTCATTCAATTGGCACCATGCGTTGCATCGACTTTTCAGCTAGTGCAAAGTTTTTAGCGCAGAACTGCAATCAATCCACGTCAAACATTTCAATTAAAGGTTAGTTTGAATGGTGTTGTTGTGATAAAGTATAAGAAGATGTTTAGGGATGGAACTTATCAAAAGTATTGATAGACGGGAATATGCCGTAATGAAACAGCACTTTCAGAATGCACTCGGTTGCTGATGCATTTTACCGCTTTTTTGTACTAAAATTAACTTATTTGTCTCTTCACACAGCAGCAACATCTGAACAAACACGCTTTTCCCATTTGCTGGAGACTGCCATCACAGCCTTTGTCTATGATTTTAATGTCTGAGACAAAGCAACACCATCCCGTTCAGGGCCTTGCAATTATGGTAAGGAGCACTTCTTGGAACTAACGAGTTTGAAGACGTAAATCTCACCAGTGTCAATAACAGTATGAGTGTTACAGCACACCATGAGACGAGTAAATGGTGTGCAGTACGTATTGCTGATGTAAAGTGTTTGGTAAACAACAGTTATAGGCAGTTTGAGAAGGTTAAACGGTTGATGAGGCCTTGATCGTTGAGTAGACAGACTAATACGTGCTATCTCTGCTGTATAAAGAATGTTTGATCTATGCATGCTTGATAGAGAAATGAACCTAAGTTGTGAGGCGTAAAGATAAGCGGTAATGGCAAATTCACATGTCTGTTCGTTAACTCATGTAGGTATTGTGCACATGGAGTGAATGTGTTTGTATGGAAAATTTGATTAAACTGTACGGCCCATCGTGTTGTTTCAGCTGAAGCATCGCCCAAAGATCAACAAGCTAGGCTCGCTGTAACAGATGTTAAACGGACACGCTAATCAGGGTGCAGAACCTCCGATCCGTTAGATGCTGTACTGGAACAATGACCAACAGCCTTTCAGAAGGGCCTGTGGATTGTCCCACAATCTTACCACAGGGTCATCGGTGCCAACTGCTATAGCTAGAGCAGGTCTTAATAAAACATGTTTAACCGAATGAGTGTGCATGCTGGTGGTGTTAAATAAAGAAAGGGAAGAGTGCACAATCGCATAAATAGGTCTGCCAGCTACTCAACGACTTTGCACGAAGGTGCCAATATTTCTATCAAAACTAGCCATGTGTGTCAAGCGGATGTACGAGGCATCATCTTGGTTATTGCAGCCAATTTTTGCCAGTAAATTTTTTAAATCGCAATAACAAAATCTTCATTTGGTCTTAGGCACAGCGCGGTGCAGCCAGTACTACACAACAAATCCATGTTTGTTATTGGGAACAAAAGATAAATTTAGAGATGTACTTAACGCAATTTTAACTAACACTGGCCAACTCACTGATCAGAATGATAAAAAGATTTACACAGTTATGACCCGATGAGATAACTTTGTTGGCCGTGATTAGTGTACCGTTATCATCGTCTTTCAGTGCTCGTACAACGTTGATATAACTTTCAGTCACGCGTAGCACAAAAAATCTGTTTACGTACGACTCGTGTGCATGCAAATTAAATATCTGATTGTAAAACTTATCAAATACCACATTCACAGCACGAATGCGGAAAATAGAGGCGCACTTCACCAAAAAAGATGGTTTTTTGTTCAAGAACTGGCATCTTTTCTCATTCCAGCTCGGTAGCGGCATTAACTCACTCGATGGATTCAGACAGAATTCCTCCAATGAAACGTAATTAGTTGCCATGTTCTTGTTATTGGCATTTTCATCTCCTTTCAGTATATCATTCACAATGAATGCTGATGATGAATTGATCATCACCTGTCTAAGTACTGGACAACCATTCGTACCGCAATGTTCAAAATCAACTATAAAATACGAATTCGAGAACCCGCTCAGTTTCTGGCTGTAGCGCATTTCTGTGTTCTTTTCGTTCAAGTGATTCACATATGACCGATTGTGGAACATTACAGCGACATAGAGAACAAAATATACTAAGCATAGTATAAATAATAGCGTAGATAGTATTAATACCGTTTTTGCTAGCCAAATTTTCAGTTGTAGTTTTCCATAACGATTTTGCTCTTTTGACATGGTTTACAGAGTCTTTCCTTTTTTTTATACTTTTGTAAAAGGAAAATTTTTGCTATTGGCACCGCAATCAAGAACAAAGAAACTTACAACTGTTTACCAACATAATACAGCACACATCCTTTTGTTTATGAGTTTTATACCTGTCCAAACGAAAAAAATACTGAATACTCTTCTTCCTGTGACGGAGCTAGCTTAAATCATATTTTGAAGATCACTTTCGCAAAAATAATTTTGCAAACCGGGTAAATTACTACAATTTTGCAGCACAAAGAGCGATATGCCGTTTAACCAGGTGTTAAGCGCTAGAGTGTTCGTACATTTGATATGCAGATTCGTAAACTACTGTTTTTAAGTAGCTGATTTCTAAGTAACAGCCAAGAGCCTTCGAATTTGGCCATTGTTGCAACTGCTTATGAAAATGCTTTTTAGAAGTAGTCAAGAGACGTGTTTTAACTAGGTATTAATTGGTGCTGCATCTTTCTACGGCTCTCAGAAATGTAGGATTGCGAGTTTAAACTCTTAAACGATAATATAGTATTCTTTTTTCCTATTCGGGTCCTTAACCAACAGATAGCACTGATAAGGGAACAATTTGCCGATACATCTCTCAATGTTGTTTCTGTGCCTGACATATGCACTGGCACCACGGTACGATCAGTACATACTAACAATTTCGATACATAGCACTTAACAATCATGATGCAGCGTAGCTATGATTAAAAATGAGCTGTGCTCAATTAGTTGACTCACAGTTAACTTTAACACTCTGATAGAATGAGCATGCATATTTGGACTTGTACCAAACAAAACAGAATTGCTGCCAACGGCCGGTTACAACTGATAGATTTTAATTTAATTCCAAATACATCAATTAAAATCCAACTTTCTGGTACTTTTGTGCAAAGTGCCCTTCGCCACCGTGCTCAACCGTTTTTCAAGAGGCGAAAAGGCAATAACACGTGAAAAGTTATCAGTTCTCTTTCGTTTCGGCGAGCTCAGCAATTTAAAGGGCATATGATCATCAATACTATCAAGATCTAGTGATCTACATTTCTCCAATCTTGTGTTTGCCCTCTGGATACATTCTTTTCTTTGAACTGAAAAGCGATGAAACTTTTCATAAATCTTAACAAAAACATGCTGGTAGAAACCCTGAATATGGTGGCACACACGGTCTGTCTCATAAAGTGTGTATATTTGGTGTTGAATGTCTTCCAATTCCACATTATTTTTGATTTGGTAAATAAATGCTACTAGTGTTTCCAAAAAGTAGTTGTTTCTGACTACGTAGTAAACGTTCTCGAACACATACTCAATAAACAAACGGCTTTGTAAGCTATTCTCCTCTCCAAACATGTCAAGCACGTCTTTCTGAATATCTTTCATAATATTTAGCATTTCTGTGGTTTTAACCACGCATCTCATGTGATTAAGAAATTCAAACTTGTACCTCAGAAGACACTGCTCGATAACAACGTTTCGATCATGGTAAAATTTGTAAATATACTCATTTGTTTCGATTTGGTTCGTAGGATATGAAAATATTGTTACTTTCAAGTTCAGGCATTTGTACAGAAGGTTTATGTACTCATAAATGTTTTGCTTGTTGCAATTTCTACACTTCGAGGTGTAGTATGCGACTAGATTTGTGAATGTCTTTTTACAACTACCATAAAACCTGAATATAAACCAGAGCAATTCTTCAATTTCGTCGACGAGATACACCATAATGGTTTTCTCCTGCGTATTCTTGAGAAGAAAGCTTTCGAAATAATCAATCTGCATCAGAAATATAGCTGGATTTCCCAGATTTTCGCATGTTTGCACCATGCCACCAATGTAATTGCCTCGTTTGTCCGATAGATTCTTGAGTTTGGTGCAAAAGTTTTGAATTATCATATGATATGAAATCTGCGCTTCCAATAGTACCATGTTCAGGTGTGAGATTCTCTCATTAAATAATTTTTTAAAGTTGAGAAGCGTAAAACTTACCTGAAAAATAATCAAATATGTTTGATTGTAGTGACAACCCTCTCCAAGACATATTGAGCGTACCCGATCTATTAACATGAACGGAAATATTTATCTAAAAAACAAAAATGGTACATTTTGATAAAGTCAATCCGCACATAATGACATTTCCCATATTTGCAATGTTCAGCAGGCAATTTAAATGAACCGTAGCATTAACCAGCATAATTTTCATGACAGCACGTAACTTCGCTTTTGTTTTGGCAACAGGAGCACGCTCAAGTCTAATATCAGTTGTACAATATTTTGTTGCAACCTTTCAAATATCCGGGCAAGATCAGGCAGAAATAATCTTTATAATGCAGATTTTGTATCACTTGAAAATGTGAAAAATTGTTCAAAAGTTGCAGCTTGAAATGAAGCGCTTCAAAATAACCAGGCTAACAATTTTATTCCAGACAACACATCTGCAATGTTACGGTATATTCCGTTTAATAGCAGAAAAATTCGTATTGTGGTGTTCTGTTTATCATTCTGATTTGAACTTTATCATTTTAGCAATCCTTTGTTTCTGCTTTTGTGTCTGAAACATGTTATATCAAGTATCAACGGGACTTATGGTATTATTCGGCACGATTGTTTATAATAAGAGCGAGAAAACTAAAGTTACGGCTATTGAGTATGTTTTTAGAAATTGTTTATAGCACTTTTATTTAACACCACCAGCATGCACACTCATTCGCTAAACACGTTTTATTAAGACCTGCTCTAGCTATAGCAGTTGGCACCGATGACCCTGTGGTAAGATTGTGGGACAATCCACAGGCCCTTCTGAAAGGCTGTTGGTCATTGTTCCAGTACAGCATCTAACGGATCGGAGGTTCTGCACCCTGATTAGCGTGTCCGTTTAACATCTGTTACAGCGAGCCTAGCTTGTTGATCTTTGGGCGATGCTTCAGCTGAAACAATTTTTGAACACAAACCCTGCCGTACACGCAGCTGCAGGTTCGATCTAACTGTACAAACACATAATTCAAAGCACTAAAAAACGAAAGTTGTAAAACTGTTTGTGACCAAGAGCCGGTTGTATATCAGTTTGTCATTGTTACATGGAAATTTTTGATCAACTAGAATTTTAAACAGTGCCCCAAAATGTTTAAAAAAGAAATCGAAACTTTTCTTGTAATAGCAGCTACGATTTATCCTTGTATCCTTAGGAAAGGAATCGGAGCTAGCAGTAACCTATTCGTTGACCTTATATCATTGATTTTGCCGCAATATCTTGTGCTATTGGACTATAAGTTGGTCTACGTGTTGGTAATCGTGGTGCTCACACCGTTTGTAAAACGATCCAATTTGTTCAAGGGAACAACAGGTTTGTCCAAAAGACGCCGCGTGATGAGAACGTTGCAAACGGCAATAACTGTGAACTGCATTGTGATAAACATATTGGAAAACGCTGGGGTCTTGAGCGACAGGTTCCGATCGACCATTTTCTATGGAATATCGCTCGGCGACCTATGCAAAAGCTCTGTAGTGTTGATCGAAGGATACAAGTGCGCCAGAAAGGCCAATAACTCGATCTACCAACGGTTTATACTGTCTTTGATGGCCGGCACCGTAATATGTTTTGTCAACATAATTATGGGCACTAAGCACGATATTACACAATATGGTGCGAACATAAACTTCTTTCTGGTACTATCATGCTCATATATCCTGTTTATGGTCTTCAGAAGTAAGCACAATTTCAAATTGGCTCTGTCCCTGATGATTGTGCAAGAATATTATTTGAGGGTGGGGAGACTCGATGAAATCATCTTTTCGGAAAAAAGAACAGGCTGGTTGATGAGAAACAAGGAAGGTCTGAACGCAATATTGCCAACACTTGTTATGTTCCTTTTCTCGTCATATATTGGTCGAAAAATGACCAACAGGAAAGCAACGTTGCAGGGCATCTTGACAACATTTTTTGTCACGTGTTTATTTGTTGTATCTTACGGGTACTCAAATGGAATGTCGTCTGCTTCCAGGCGATTGGGCAATTTGTCTTACACAATGTTATCGCTGTCTCTATTCTTCGGCCAATATATGGGTTTGTACGTTGCTGACTACTTTTTTCCCTTGATATTGACTGATCTCCAACTTTTTATTGGTCACCACATGATACTCTTGGTGTTTATGTCTGAGGTCCTGAAAATGATCATAACAGATCTTGAAGTCGGTATCCATGCACGAAACGCATATCCATGCATCTCAAATTTTCTTCTTCTTTCCAGTTTTATCGTGATATTTTATCTTTTTAGGTTGTGTGCGAAACCTAAATAAAATGTTTATTGCCAAACTGATGACCAAGTCACAGATTGATTGTCATATTGTTCATTGTTGCTATTGCAATTACCATTTTCTTGTATTGATATTGAATGAAATTTCATTCTTGAGTAGCAATAATTATTAATCAAAGATTACTTCTGCCTCTCTAACAATGCATCTATTGATCTCTTCACATACAACATCTTCCAAATAAACATTTTCGCTGCGCTAGAACTGACAACTGTCACAAGTATTTGGTTCACGGATTCTTGGCATTGCGAGTTAGCCAAAACATACTGCTCTTCCAAAGCTTATGCTCGAGAACCATCAAATAAATCAGTTTTGAAGCGCCTTCTCACCAACATAACTGAAGACCGCAGGACACTATCCGACAGGAAATGGTTTATAAAGTATTAAAAATTTATTGACGAAAAATAGCGGAAGTATAGATATGGGCATCCGCTTTACAAACCTAGAAAATAAACAAGGTCAGTCTTTTGGTTTGAAAATGCCTTTCTTCAGCCTTAAATCCTTGAAATCCTGCTTATTGACATAAATCTTGCCCAACTTTGTTTTTTGCTCGTTCACCGCTATATTTTTTATTTTTTTTGGCTTCTGGATACCAAGCGATGTCTTAAACAGTGCTGAATCACAGTATTTCTCCTGCACCACCTTCAACTTGTAGAATGGACCAATCAGTTCAAGCTTATCCTTCGTACACAAACTTATGATAAACTCATTCTCCTGTCTGGTCAACACAAAAACATACTTAATGGCCTCTAAATTGATCTGGGACGACTTCTGGTACAGCACGTCCGTCCATAAATTTCTTTCCCGATCGGACAAACCCAGGAAGAGCATGAGATACTTTGAGCCAAGTGCTGTACCACCAGATACGAATCCTTTCTTCTCCAAGATTTCGTATTCAACTATATCAAGTATCTCGTCATCATAGATCCGACCGACTGCCAATTTATTACCAGACTCATTGATAAAAATGTTACACTTGCGTTTTTTCATTGCAGAAATGAGAGTTTCAACCGAGTCCAACACATAGATGTCTCTGTATAATGTGCTACATAGCTGTACTTGTGACGATAAATTGGACATTTCCCTGCTGTTGCCATGGATGAATAAAATCTTTTTCTGTTCCATCGTCGGGGCCCGAATAAATTTTTTTACGTATTATGTGTGACTTTGATGATACGCTGAAATCCATTGGTACTATTTAACTGATACTAGATGGTCATAGTATGTGAATATTTATTCGTAAATCCTTTTCGGTCAGTGTACAGCCGTAAACATTTTCTAGCAGAGCAGTCATAATTCCAATCAATTATCCCTCAATACTTCCGTATGACTAAATCGATGTATCATACACCAGACATTTGAGCTGATCAAACAATACTCTTGGAATACACCATGAAAATACAAACCTTGCCAACAGTTTTTTTATTGTAAATGATCTATTAGACACTTACATATCTAAATATTATCTTTATAGCATTTTTATGCCACCTGATCGTTGTGTGACCATTTTTCTCTCGTAAACCGGCAAATAGTGTCCATGAAGCATGTGCTGCATTTTATAACATCTAAGCACGTTCAATTATTTTTGGATGGTAGTTCTACCGCTCATGGAGCTGTAGCAGATCACCCATTTGATATTTTTTGTGTGCGTCGCAAATTTTTTAATCGAATTCTTTTACCCATAGAAATGGCGTTCAACTTCAAGGCGATCAAAAAAATACCTCTTTCGTTGATTGACGTGGTTCTATCCAAGACACAAAGGAAGACACCAACTGTAATCCGCAACAAACATCCGCTGCCAAAAATAAGATCATTCTACACAAGAAAAGTTAAGTTCACGGGAGCAGAGTATGCTATGCAATTGGAGACTATCATAAATTCATTTCCACATGTTGAGGACATCCATCCATTCTATAATGACCTGATAAATGTCCTTTATGACAAGTCACATTTCAAAATGGCACTAGGACATCTTAACAGCACCAAGAAGAACGTTGAGAGCATCACGAATGAGTATGTGAGGCTTATAAAGTATGGAACGAGTCTTTATGGCTGTAAGCAACTGAAAAGAGCAGGACTGGGAAAAATGACCAGTTTGGTAAAGAGGCTGAAGCCAACACTGGAATATTTGGAAGAAGTCAGACAGCACATGAGCAGACTGCCGCAAATAGACCCTGAGTGTCGTACAGTTCTTCTTTGCGGCTTGCCAAACACGGGTAAAAGTAGCTTCATGAACTGCGTTTCCAAGGCGCATGTGGATGTTCAACCCTACGCGTTCACCACCCGATCGCTTTTTGTCGGGCATTTCGAGTACAATTACTTGAGCTGGCAGATTGTGGATACACCGGGTGTGTTGGATCATGCGTTGGAAGAGATGAACACCATAGAAATGCAGAGTGTGACCGCTTTGGCACATTTGAATTCAATCGTTCTGTTTTTCCTGGATGTTTCTGAGCAGTGCGGATACTCGGTCGATCAGCAAATAAGTCTGTACAATTCGATAGCACCGCTAATTGATAGACGAATGCTAATCGTGTTGAGTAAGTGCGATTTGAAGTCACCGAGCACAGCAAAGAGTACGAAAATTGAGCATCTTGATTTGAAGGATGAGATTAAATACTTTCTGGATGGCAAGCAGTACGCGTTTCTCAGTGTTTTTGATCCTGAGAGTGTCGAAAAGGTCAAACGGATAGCATGTGACTCACATTTGGAAAAGTCTTTGGAGATCAAGCTGCAAAAGAACCTGGAGCCAATACTTAATCGTATAAATGTGCACGAACCACCCTCACACAGACCAAAAGAGGAGTGCATGTTGAGAAGCAGTGATGAAAAAATAATCACCGAGAGAGACCTGGCAAAGGACAATCTCGACTATTACTTTGATGAGAACAAGAACTATTTGGTGAATGAGGATGAGAAATATGATGTTATGCCAGAAATATACAACGGCAAAAATGTGATGGATTTCGTTGATGTCAATATACTGGACAAGGTTGAAAGCATGGATAGATATCTACCCATTAGAGACTACGATGTCTTTGATGATAATATCAAGAAGGAAATTGACAAAAGAATCAGAGTCAAGCAGGAACACACGCGGAACAAACTTAGGGCCACACTGCCTGAGAGATTCAAAAACAACCCAAGGAAAAAGTACTCTACGTGCAAGGAAGCTGAGCCAAAAAAGAGAGGACCGAAGCAGTTCGTTGAGAAGCAGAAACCGATGGAATACGACCGCAAGCCCAAGCATTTATACAGGTGAGCATTGTTTCATGGTTTTTTAATAAATTTATTGCTATGACTAGCTGCGCACGTTTTGATCTATTTAATCCTGCTGGCTAAGCGGTGCTAAGACATTTTAATTGCTTATAGTGCTGTTATTCGAGGTTAATGCGTTATATAATGTTGTGAGGAGTGGATAATTGCGGTGATTACAATGTAAGAGTCAGACAAGTGTATTAATATGCGTGTTGTTGTATGGGAGATACGGTTAACTTTTAGTAAAAAGAAGATCGCGGTTTATGGTTTATTGTTTGAATGACCGGCCTGCAATTACGGCATGAACTTCCTTTGACTCCCGATATCTGTCCGAGTTGCACATAGCGTGTCAGCTGATAACATCTGTAAAGCATCTATGTTTAGAATTACAGGCTATGTTACGTGCGTTTAACCGAGTAAACTTATGATTTAAACGAATTTTTGATTATCGGTAGAATCTAAGTGTTATGTTTACTGCGGTTTTGTACGTGTATCACGCAGTATTATGAAATATCAGATTTAGCAAACATTCCTTTATTTATTCTTAATGAGTTGATCTCTTAGGCTGGTAGGCTAATCTAACGCTAGATACTTTCGTTGATCAACAGCCATTTCTTGTTGTACATTACAAACACATAATTTTTAATTTGCCTGTCTATATTACAGTGTGGTGTATGACCTCCATCAACACCAATCTTTTTCGATGATACTTACTACTTGGTATGTATCATTCACGTAACCCTTTGATTTCACGCTCTAGATCACATGTTTGAATAGATTTAATTAACCTTGTCTTGTAACTTGCAAAGTATATTAGAACATAATAAATATATTATTGTTAAAATTAATACTCCTCGCTTTAATACCAAACAATGTTATCTTTTTGAGCAACAGTTGTTGCAATTGTTCTGCTATTAATACATCTTTTGATGCTATGTGTATTTTCATCTCAGAGCTACAACGCACGAACAAGCCCTTTTGATGATTACCGCCTTTATGTAACAACACTATGTCTTAATTCAACAATTTTGGTACGAGTGCTAGATTATGTTTGAAGACAAAGTTTTCCCTGAGACTCTGCTGAATTTGTTAGAACAATAGAGACCAAAATTTTAATTTGGCAATTAGTTCTATTCGCAGTTTCTCGTCAGCAACTTGTGCTTCATTTCATAAACAGCTTTTAACCAATCTGCTGCTTCTCAGATCGTGAATTTGTATCATGATTGTTGCTATCGCAAGTGTCTTTATTTAAGCCATTATCATCCATCCACCTTCTAAGATCACATTTTGATATATTATATTGCTGCAAAGCCTTCACTAAGCCCATCCTCCACAGTTTGTTTTGAGGATTTAAACTTTTTCACATGCAAGTCTTGAATACCACAGCACGAAAATGCTTACTAATCTAATATCATGTGGTTATCGAACCAAAAAGAGCTGCGATAGATAACAAGCAATAATATAAAAATGAATTTATGGCAAAACTATGCCTTTTCTTGCTACACATTCTTTTATTCTATAAACTGACTTATTGCATCGATATTCGGTGTTTCGAACACTTCGCACCGAAACAATCTCATTGATGGTATTCTATGTAAAGTACCGATAGATAACACAATTGAAATGATATTAACTAGGTAACAGTAAATTCACTCGCAACTTCAAAAACAAAGCACCCATCAATTCACAACAAATGATATTAACAAAGCGTTCGTGTCTTCTTTGATTACGTAGTCGTCTGAAATGTTTTGCCGTACATATCCCCATCCTACCAGCAAAATATGCAACCTTTTATCCAATTATATCCTAATTCAAACTATTTATATAATAATTCCCTTTAAAACACATTTTTCCGGATATATAATAATTTCTCTAATTTGTATGAAACGATCCTAAGTATTTTAATTTCTATGACTATAAAAGTAGGCAAGAGCGAAAATAACAACATGGGCTATCTTGGACTGCTTTGTACTAACGCATGCAAAACATTTTTTGTCTTACTTGGTATTGCCATAGGCGTAATTCTTTTCATATTAGGAGTTCTTACGATTTGTTCCAGCTTGGATGCGTAATTTGCAGGATTGCGGTTTTTGGCTTAGGTAGTTAGCCCTTGTTTAGATGAATTTTTGTTGAATAAAAATGAGTCTTTGAAATTTGTATTTACCTAACGCGAACAAAAAGTACGGATTTTCGGCTAGTTCTGCATATGGATAGTTTGTGACATGAACAGATTTGCTTTAAGATAAGCCTCAGCTGCTGTTTCTATGTTTTATCCATTCTGTTCGTGTTTCAATTAATCCTGATGCTATATCCGATCATACAAGAGACTTCTACCGTTTTTATGTGTTCCATCTCGCAAAAAATCATAAATTCTCTGTTTTGGAGTTTTGAGCTGAGTTTCCTTTGGAATGCCAAAAACGAATACAATCAAAATAGGGAAGTGCATATGGAATTACCGATTTAGAAAAGTATTTCTTGATGAATATTTATCACTGAACTCAAGCCAAGGAGTATCATGCTGTGCAATGTACAAGGGTAAAGTATTTGATAACTGAAGTATGTCGGTAAACACCACCGATGTTCAATTGTTGTTGCAGACGCGATTATTTCCTTCACAGATTATTTCTCAGCGTTAATTGATTGCTTTTAATTTTTTTTCTGTATTTTCTCCTTAAGCTTGGAACTCGTTCGAAAACTGTCCTAGATAAAAATATATAGGAATAATTAGCAAACACACATGTAAACAGTGATCCCTAGATGAAAGCAAGAACTGGCCCGATATGTTGCTTTATGTCGATATAAATTATGTACTATCTGGGATCTAATGATTATCATTATTGATCATACGGGAAGAATGGGCATCATCTATCACAATACGAGTCGCCTCTTCGAAATAACCATTATACCGTGGTACTGATGGCTCAAAGGTCTGCATCTGTGCCCATTTTGAAACTATGACCATGGCATGCCAGTTAACTTCAGATAGTCCAACAGTTCAGCTATCTTGTGAGCTAACACATCTATTAAAATATAGAAAACGTGCAATTATGATTTTTTGGGTGCGCAGCACAATAAACTGTAACCAATTGACCGTAAAGTTGTTGTAAGCTGGAGACATAAAAGCTTGAGGAACTAATATTATTCACCACAAAGAAGTGCGAGTGTATATTATGCCGTCGGTTCCTCACCGATTAAATAGCTTGGGGTGATTGGTTGCACAAACTTTGAAATTGTTCTGCACACGATGCCACACCATATGTGCTAACAAAGTGGTTGAAAGATCAGTAGATGAATTCATAAGCGAATTCAGGCGATGTGTTACATTCTTATACCTTGCTAATCACCTGTGCTTGCCAGATATTGATTAGTGATACCATTTTGTTTCTCCTAATTTAAAAAAATCTTAAACACAATATCCTTAATATTTAATGAAGAGAACACGAAGTAAGGAAAAAACCATAAGTAAGAAAATTACCATAAAGACGTCCGACCATTCGGAGGAAGAAAGTGACGAGGATGTGCAATTGGAGAATATGAATGAGACTCGAGACCAGATAATGAATAAGCACAAAGATTATTGGAAAAATGTGATTGAGAATGAGATAACCGAGTTTAATATTTACAAGAACTACTGTGTGGATGACACGGTGGACAAAAAGGATGTGAAGCTGTCTGATGCGGTTGAGGATGATTTGAACATAATACATGAGCTGGGAAAGATAGGCGAATAAACTACAGTAAATAAAACATGTTTCACACCGTATTATCAAATTCACCATTTGTATTTTGGTGTATACCATTATGTGCTACTCTTGTACTTTGTTGTGCCAAGGCTGTAAGTGGAAAATTCATAAAATGGTATTTTTTAGTGTAACGTATCCAAAAATGAAACTAAGGAAAGTCGGGCTTTCAAAGACCGTCATAGCTGTGTTCAGCTGTCAAAAAAGTCATGGATGAGAAACAAATGAGTATTGCGATAAGCATGAGGGATGATTAGTAATACGATTGAAGAGGCCACAATAAAAGCAGACAACTGCATCACAAGTACAGATGTAGTGAATGGTGTAAGTAATTTAGCGGAAATACGTGGTATAGGGTGATATTTGTCAGCTTATCAATCCAAACTTTTTCCCTCAATCAAGTAATCACGGGAGTGCAGTACATGAACACAGTTTCGTACAGATTATTAGCAAAAAAATCACAAAGAGTGTTATTGACCATCGAATCACATCAATAGGATATGAATGCTAGGCTAAGAAGAGAATAGAACCGATTTGTTATTCGTTTTCCCGCATACTTTACTCTTTGCGTATGTACCCCGGCGAAAAAAATTATATCCTGTAAACACAGAAATGTGAGTTCAACTACAATTCCTTCAGAACAATCATTTGAAAGAGATTCGGTGATCATTTACAACATTTTTGTGAACCAGAACGATATATACATGGATAGATGCGAACGTGGAATTAATTTACATTCCGTGCAGTGTAACGTACTTTTTAGTACAAAATGTGTTAATAAACAGCATAGTGCCCAAAAACAGTCTTATTTTCTTGTTGCATCCAAATCAGCCACATTCATGTAATGTTTGCAATTTATCGATGGCTGTAAAAGTCAGGTAATGAAAACGTAACTTAACTAAGCTCCTTTCTTAATGGCTAAAGCCCAATTTACCGAATATATAATTTCCTACAAAGAGACATGAATGATAAGTGTATGTGATTTATTTTGTTTATGTTTTGCAACATCTGTTCAATGTTCTCGTCCAGACTATATCATACTAAACAAGTCATTTAATGAATATTTTACACTATTGAATTGCCTATACCGCCATAATATTACTATGGAGCGTAGGACAAGCACATAGAAATAACACTCATGAGTACGATCTTTCTAAACGAATACATGCCAACAGAACGATCTTCTTAGCAAATGAGGTCTTCACAGCAGCCCAGTAGCTCCTTAGCACTATTATGACACGGTATTAAGAACTAATATAATAACACAATATACGGGTTGCTCCTCCTATTGCTAAAAAATACGTACATCCACGAGATGATACCGTGCAATATCCATGCTCGGTTAGCTGAAGAAATAAGATCTATTTCATTGTATTTGCTACTCCATAGTTTCATTTGATCACTATTAGATACCTATTACGGTCCCTGATGAGTTAGATAACTAATAAACAATCGTTTATTGTCCAAATAATATTCATGGCTCGCACACCCCACGGTAATCTAACCGAGCCTTTTATTTGATGAGATATAGTCATATATTTCACAAGGATGATCTATTGTTATATTAATATCAATTTTTTTCTTTGAATTGATTGTGCCACCTCCTAGCTGCACAAGCTTGGTCAGCTGATAGCTTGTTTTCTTCCGATCAATAGTGAAATTGACTCGCTCAAAAATTAGATTGTCTTTTCTTAAGACATTGGTCGATAGGCTATTTATTCCGTATGACAGATCACCATCAACAAAAAATTGGTACCAGCTGCATTTATCCTCCATTTGATTTTCAAAATCAATAAAAAACGCAAAATTTAGGATGTAAATTCCTCTTAGTCCAGCGTATAGATATTTGTAAGATCTTATACACATGTTTGAAGATGTGTTTATGATGAGATGCGTGACTTTGGTGCTCATTTTCTTGCACAAAAAAATTCTTTTGTACTTTTTTTTGTACATTTTGAATTTTTTGGCCACATATCGCTGTTGATACTCATTAAGATTCGAAAAACACATGTATATGTCACCAATTTCATCGATTTTATCAGTTCTATTTCTTCTAAGGACGATTCTTAGCTGTTTATGATGCTTTTCAGGGGGTAGCGATAACGTTGTTGGATGGAATGCCAAACCTGCCTTAGCTGGCGAATCGGATAAATCAAGAGAGGTTGGCCTGAGTGGACAGTCGAAGTGATCAAGATCAGATGACAAAGAATTGTATTTTAGCACGGGCATCTTTGCACTTCGCTGCGTAGCATTGGATTTCAGAGGGGATGATTCGAGGTAACTACCCAACGAAAATGAAAGTTTCGAAATTTCGGCGTCTTTATTAGCGTTTTCTATAGTTATTGTTGCATTGCTCGTGTAATCAGAAGCACATGCCACGCCAGCATCTGTTTGCGGACACTCCTCTGCAAACGAAGAATCAGAGGGAGTAGAACCGCGATTAAAAACATTATTATGAAAATAGTTGCTAAGGTTGAACAAAGTGTGTGCAAATATGCAATTTTTAAACTTCCCTTTTTCTTTACACTGTCGACATATTATTTTATTGGAACTTGTCTGGTACAATGCGGTGTTCGTGTGACATATCTTACACTTTATGAACGTATACAATCTTTTCATGAAGCATTCTGTCGCTTTGTCGCAACGGCTCGTTGATATACATGGGGAATGCATGCAAGTGCTTCGATAATTTTTTGCCCCATTCCTCAAAAATTCTTTATATCACCGCAATCGATAAGACATGAAATATCGAGCGCAAACTAACTGTGGGGTAGGCGAGTATTCAATGCAACAAATGTTACCTGACTATATTTCGAAGTTTAAGTGATAGGTCTCGATTAATTTACAATTTGATACCTCGCTTAAACTATATGTGCCACAAGCACTAACGTTATGCTTGTTATTGAGCTCAAACAAAACATTTAAATCGAATAAACACTTCTTGAAAGTTCATTTTCCATAATTTGCTGCGGTCTTGGGCAAAAGCTCTGTTTGAATCGAGGGAGTTACACCACAATACCAGTATGTGAATGACTGGGAATTCATTTGTAGTGTTGTAATCGATGAGTTAGTGGCAGGAATTAAGGATACTGATAGGCAGTCAACATATAACATCATACAGTATAACATTAGTATAGAAATTCATCACTAGACGCCATTCAATCCAGCTATTTATTATTAAAAACTACTTTTCAGCGCTCTACATGGTTGTGTTTAACAAGTTTCATTTAGCAGGACTTTTTGTGTGAATGTGTATTACATGGCGTTCTACTTCGTTCCTAGCTACTCAACTTCCAGCATTTCCGTGCCATGTTTTAGCAACTTTTAAACACATTTTATAGATAAATACAATATTTTGCATCTAATAACGAATTTGCAGCTTGTCCCTCGTAACTAAACACTATCAACGGATCATTCTTTTGCCGAAAATTCAATAAATTTTGAGCCAACCCATTAAACACGCAAACATTCCGATGAAGCTGAAGATTAAAAAAATTTACCAAACGTTCTCATGGCGTTGGAAGATAGAAAATGACTTGTGTGGCATTTGTCAGCAGGGGTTTGATCAGATGTGTACATCGTGTACGCATCCGATTGAATGCCGGCCATGTGTAGGAAAATGCACCCACTCGTTTCATATTCACTGCGTAACAAGGTGGCTCTCCAGCAACAAAGTGTGTCCTATGTGCAGGAATATATGGAAGTACGGGAAATTGTACGAATAAAGTGTTGATAATTAACTGTTAATGGAACGGTTCTCTCGTAATTCATTTATCTAATTATTGTAATGCCGTATTTACTGGCTCAAATATGGTTGCATCTTTTGAAATGTGCGCGTTTAACGATAAAAAAGGTTTTGTAGGGCTTGACTCGGGTATTTTTATCACAGCTCATTTTATATACGGTTTAAGTGCGAGTAGAACCTTTTTGTTTCCAAACAGCCCGCAACTGAAATATAACCACAAATAATAAACAAAGTACGAGTCGATGTACCCCATTCCATGCTAATCTACAGATTGTTTTCAAATCCAATCAAAGAGAAAATTTTTAAATCTCCGTATTTTAAAGAAATCCGAACCTATGATTTGAACCAAACAATCACCGAAGCACAACAACTGTCATCTATTGGTTCGCTCGTGTACGGATCACCTCATCAGTTTATTTGTTTACTGCAGAAGCTCGAATCACTGAACATAGGTGACAGTATCATCTTGGAGAAATACCACGAAGCCTTGAAGGGGGACAACTCGTCATTTGTTATGTTTTTTGTCTTTTACATCAGGATGACCGTCAGAATGAAAGGAGATTTTGAAGAGATACGAAGGAATCTTTGCAGTGACGAATCATTGATCAATATAATTGACGAGAACAATGAGCATTATACCATCACAATCAAGGAAATGCTGAACATGCTGAAGAATGATAGGTATGTCTTGGGTATTTTTATGAAAAACGTTTAGCGATACCAAAATTATCTTTTGATGAAGCTGGCTTGCACACCCCATTAAAATGTTGACTCTGAAAGTTATTGCTGCAGACGCTGAAGCAAAGAACAATCTTGCAGATATTTACGCCAGAACACGATACTTAGATTTACACAAAAACAAGTTATTTAATACTTCTTCGTAAGACTTTTGAACTCAGCATCGAAATTAAACATTTCGAATCCTTTAGCACATCTCTTTGCATTTTGCAGGTAATCAGAGAATTCCTTGATGCTTTTGACCTGTTCTGCAACATATTCATCCATGAACTGGCAAAGTGCATAGTCATGGTTTTTGTCTGCTGCTCTGTATAATTTCAAAATATGCTTGTATGATTCTTCCTCGTATTCAAGCGAAAGCTCGAACACCTCCACAAGCGATTTATAGTCTGTCCTGTCCAAAGACAATGGTTTAAAGTTTGGACGCAACCCAACTTGGTTCATATAATCGATTATTCCTTTGGCGTGTGTCAGCTCTTCGTTGTATTGTTTATAGAAAAAATTGGCGATGCTGGGCAAGGCTATCTCCCTGTTATTGCAGTACTGATACGCCGATTGGTAAAAGTAAAAAGCAAAATTCTCTATTCTTAACTGCTCGCTCAGTAGTTCTACGGCTTCATCTTCCCATTTTTTCTTTCCTTCCATTGTAGATCTAGTATTTTTCTTTTTTAAAAGACACGTGTAAAAATGATCGTAGAATCAAATTGGTCATTAATAAATACTTGGTACCGATTGGACATGGATCAAGGAGCAAATAGGGATCTTCGTGGATTAGTGGTCTGTATCACGTATCAGTCTATTCTCACACAATTCCATTGCCGCATTGAAAATTATAAAATTGCCCTTTGCAAAATACTCGGATCTTCTTGATAGCCATTTCAGAAACCGCATCTATAGAATCGCTAAAGATTATTTCCCATAACACGTGCTGTTGGCTCACCACAAACTACCATTTGTTCATATGAAACGTGTGCATCACCTTTCTACATTTGACAGGAGATTGAGGGCACCGTCCACGAGTTTAGGCCGCAGTGTGCCTTGTTCAAAATTTAGGTTTATAAACATGACTATTACGGATACAAAGCAATCATCAAGTCCAAACTAATGCAGTTGATCGATTAGTAGCCTCCTTTGTTGAAGCATGAAAAGCAGTAAATACGGCAGCTATTTATTTTTTAGATAAATTCAAGGTCTGTATTTAAATTTGACGCAACCAAATCTTGAATTTCAGGGCGGTTCACCAAAAAATCGGTAAAACATTTTTCATTCCCTATTATAAACTCTGCAAAACATATCACATACATATAGCGCAGCAGAAATCCCTGCGCTTTTTCGATGTTTTTCGCCACTCCGCTTTTTGCAAGCTCGTCAATTATATCCCTGATGTTTTCGATATGATCAAACTTATCGATGGCAGAGTCGGCAAACTTCTTGCTTCGCCGAGCATTAGGCAGAAACTTCAGCAGTTGCTGAATAATAATAAATCTCGGCTTTTTATAGTCCATTGTCTTCCACGGAAGACCGTCCAGACTGTCTCTCATCAACGTCATATACGACAAAATCATAAACGTGGTTGTACGGCCTCTTCCCATCTGACAGTTGAAAAGTAACACCATTTCACCTTTGATATTGCACAGCGTATCGTACAGGTAGCTAATTAATCGCGGCATTGGCGCACGCTCGTCAGAAATTGGCACTCTGTGGAACATCAAAGATTTGACATTGTACACTTCTCTCATCGTCTTGATCATCTCGACTTCCACCCACTTATGTGTAATAACGCATGTACCTTTTGTGAGCGTTTCGTCATGAACAAGGAGCGAATTGTCTTTGATTTCATCATAAATATCCTTTTTTAGCTGCACCTCCATTTTATGGACAATATCAGAATCAATACCGGTGATCTCGATGTTATCATATGGCGCACTGTACCGTCTCAAAACGTAGGGAGTGTTGTTCACGTAAATGACAGGCTCTTCTCTCATGCAGAACCAGTGTATAGTGGCGCCCATCTTCTGATGCTCCTTCAAAATCTTGTGAAGCAGCTTTTTGACTGCATTAGCCTTCGGCATCGCACATCCGACAATCAAATGGTTTAGAACGCGTATGTACCGCATGTTAAAAATGCCATCAATTCTGTACATCGAATCAAAGAGCGAGAATCCTTTGAAATAGTCATTTTTAAGAATAGTCATCGTGCTCAGCACAGAGCCCTTTCTGCTACCGAGATGCGTGAGCTCCTTGTTTTTATGATTGTATATTTTTATAAAGAAGTCATTGTTGGTGACATCATCTTCAATATGGCTGTACATGTTGCAGATCTCGTACCTATTTAGTATCCATGTATCAAAGGGCAGCGAAGACTTGGAGAGTAGATAAGATGCGAAACATATCGTGTAGAAGTATCTTTTGACTGCGATTATCAATGTCTTGCGGTTGTTCAGTGTTTTCAAGTGCGTGTAGAAATCACAGTCGTTATATTTGGTGAAGAGATGGTCAACTATGGCCAGAGAGAAGTAGCCGGAATCTAGCACGCGTATAAGCTCCCGAACAGAGTATATTTTCACCACGTTACTCTTTTCCTTTATTTCGCCATAATTTTTCCTAACAAGATCGATCCATATACAGAAGAACACGGCTCTCTTGGTATTATATGATATGGCATAGAGGATCTTCTCAGAAATTTCGATTTTCTTGATCAGTTTTGTGAAGAGCATGAAGTTGCTAAGCTTGAAACGAAAGTTTGGTGTAATTGGAAAGCGATAATAGTCATTTGCATTCTCTGTTATAGATAGAAAATATTCATTTGGTGTTTGGATGTCGCTCTCGCACAGATCAGAAATGACCTTTCGAACCAGGTTGCCATCTTCCTCTGTGTAATATTCGAGATATTTTTTCAAGCGGAGCCGTTCAATCAATCGTTCTTTGATCATGTTTTCTATTTCTTCCAACTTTTGATACGTCACGCTTTCAAATATCTTTATCGAGTTCTTGTATGAGATCAGATTCCTTTTCAGATACGCCTCTCCTTTAATGTAAATTAATGGCTCTTCCATAAGATTAAGCAATATACTATTTTTTAGGGCATGTGTGCCTTCAATTACAGAAATAGCCTGCAATTTGCTGCCTTCGTCTTGCCTGACCTCGAAAGTCTGTTTCTTTCCCCTGTAAAGCACCAAATGATGATCCTTATCAATACCTGAGTGCTTGAAAATGGGATGAAATTTACTTTTGAAGTTTATCGGCTTGAACACACTGAAATCACTGCGTCTTTCCGCAAGAAATAGAAATTTTCTATGGTACATCTTCTTCTGTTCAACCCATGCCGGAAACTCAATATCGGTACCATGGCATTGGTATTCAGAATAGAATATAAGTGTCATATACCATTCAAGAACGATGTTGGCTTTGATGATGATCTTGCGATCGTATATTGTGGCTTCCTTCACCAACAAATTTGCTAGTGCGTATTTCAAGTTGTAGTACGGTTCGAACTGTTCAAGCAAGCAATCGACCAGGTACTTGGAAAATTTGTAGTCAATAATGTATTGTGTAGCGTTGATGATGCTTAGATGGCCAGAAAATATTAGTTTGAGACAGAACAGTATTTGGCTCTTGTCTTTGAAAATGGCGCTCTTAAACTCATCACAAGATTCGTAATATTGCTTGGCTTTCTCAGAAGAACGCGTGGTATTGCCTATCGAAGGTTTCAATAAATTGTGAATCTGCGAGTTAAGAGAAGATTCACCATGGATATCCGGGGATTTATAATTTTTTTCACTAGCCAAACTGACAACCTCCTCCAACAGATGATTTTTGCTGAAGCCGAGCAGCTTGTATAGACAAGACGCGAATGTTGTCCTTGTGCCTCCTGACGCAGAGTAAAAAACTACCAGAGTGTCTTTTATTTTGTCATAAACGTTGTCCAAAAACGTAAAAATACCATTTTTGAGTATTGACATTGTCTTAGGAAGTGGTAATCTGTAATATGTTAACTTGGAATTTTTCGTTTCGAAGAATTCTCTGGGTGTGTAAACAACTGATGGTTTTACCAGCTCGGATTTCAGACCACCGCTTGTATCATAATGTAACATTAAAAAGCCATCATTGTGTTCGATTTCACGACATATTTCCAGCTTCAAACGCGTCTCCTGCTCTTCAATATTTTGAAATATACGTGAGCTTAGCAGGAAGTTGCTGTCGACAGGTCCGTAAATATTCCTCAATTCATAGCAAAAACCGTCGATCAAAATACAAGGATTTGGTCTGAGATTTATCCATGAAATATTTCGATCAGCAAACGACAGAATTTCATCAATTCGTGAGGCATCTAGGGCTGGTAAACAAATGTCATGGAACCTTTGTGCAGTCCTTTCGGCACGTAACAAATGGCCTAGTCGAGAAGAGTTGTGTAGGCCATCCAAGTCCTTTTTGAGAATCGAGTATTCACAGAGTATCAATCCCGACCGCTTGTAGTTCTTTAGCCTGGCGTCGGTCATTTTGAGGGATCAATTTTTTGTAGCGATTTAACATATCAGTATTTTGTAGACCATGAGATGTTGTTGCATTCATTAGCGGCATTCAGGAAAAAACTGAAGGATTTTGTTTATTTGCTAATATTTCAGGTATTGACTTGTTAATTATCAATATGTTACAATTAAAGTAAGGAATGTATTTCGTCTAGGGTTGAACGTTCATTTACAAGTTTACTGCCATAGGAATGGAGTGCTTCAAATATTGCGGTGCAAGAAATTGTCGTTCACCATAGAAAATTCCGTTTTATCATACTATTAGAAGAATTTTTTTCGCGATCTACATGTGACACTTTCTATTCTATTCTCTATAGGCAAGAAATAGGGACAGATAGATCAACCATACGGTATACGATGAGAAGCACTTGAACATCATTTGTAGCATATAAGATCGAACATGCTACTCCGATGCAAGAAATGAGTTCCTTGGGTCCTTCACAGTATTATCGCCGTTTGCATCACGTTTTTCGGTGATCACAAGGTATGATCTGTTTAACAGGAAACCAGTAGAACTGGCATTTCTATGTTATTTTTTTGTATTCTAGCACTGTATTTGCGTTTATAGGTTGTTTGGAACACAGCACATCCCTGACAAGTCTTCAGCAGGGCGGCATTCAGGACAACTCATTTTGTTGTCTGTCATGCACAGCCATCTTTCTTTCATCTCACATGTCATTTTTCATAATAAGATTTGATCGTGCTTGATTTTTAGTTACATCGTCACTATCAATCATCAGCATGAAAAGGATAGTTTGACAGTTGATTGGTAAATCAAAAATTTTTATCCCACATTTACATACAGAACAAAGAGTTGGAGATTGCTATTCAATTCTTTTTTTGAGAATGCTCTCAGCTGTTCCTTATAAAATACAATCATCTAAAATGATATGATCATGAAGAGAATTAACTGTTTTTGCACCCTACTGAAAGATTCAAAATAAATGAAAGTAGACAGAAAACATGAAATAGTGTATTAAAGGAAGGAAATATCATTTAATAAGCAAGTCAACTTTTATCCGTTTTGTAAGAGAAAATAGAGCATCTGATATCCTACTAAAGTTTATTTTACCTGTCAAAGCGATAAGAAGAATTTTCTTAATTTTGTGATATAGTGTGCTTAAAATAGTTATGTGCTATTTGTGATGTTTTGGTTAGTTAGTTAGTTCTGATGGATGAAAAAGTAGTGCGTCTTAACTTATTTGAACCGTACATTCGAGGTAAGTGAATATCTACGTTTCGATAAGCAGGGAGATTCTGTAGTACTAGAGCGAGATGGTGCTGTTAAAACAAATCAAGCGGGTTTAAAAAAAAATGCGTACAATCATTTTTATCAAATTTTTGAAGAGATAGATAGATTCTAATCTACGTGTACGAGTTTCCTTTTGAAGTAATAACCAATTATTACCCTCGAGTAATGATCGCATTTCACCGTATCATATTATTAATTTTCCACTTTGTAATATTGCTACCTACTTTGTTGAGCACAGATTCAAGAACGAAAAATGATGAAATTGGCAATAATCTGGAAGAAACAGAAATCGTGCGAATCGATGTCGATGATATGAGCACTAGCACAGTTGATGAACGTGAGTGCGCAAATGTTGATGATAATAAAAATCGGAAAGAAAATAGGTTGTTTAATAGTAATTTGGTCC